ACGGGCGGGTTTTTAGCCCTCGGACGTAACGAGTCTGAACGCGTCACACCACATTACACCCGCATAATTGGTTGCCCAAACCTAGTTATTTGTGACAAAATAATCTTGTAAAGGTTATTCTGACGCTAGAAACAAAAAGATAGTTGTAAAGAAGCAAGTTGTAAAACAGATTTGGACGTGAAAGGGGCATAATCTCGCGCGTTTCGAGTAGATTGACGGTTTTTCTGGTTCATTGCACACCAGTACGAATACGAGAGCCTGTTCTAACACGAAGAAGCTTATTCTATAGTCACCCCCCACGTTGTTCTCCATTTTCGCGAGCAATTATCGTTAGCAAACATTGTACACACAATGTTCGCAATGCAAGAATCTTTTGTGAATTACCCAAATATCACAGTATAACTGATCCGTAGGCTAAGACTTAGAAGAGGCTAGATGGGCTGAACTCGAAGGGGCAATGGTAGCGGTAAAAAGCAAAGCAGACAAGCGCTTTTACAATGTCCCTATCATCACCAGCGTTTTGCGCATGCTCGCGCGTCACATCATTAGGTTTCATCCACATCGTTTAAATACTCTCGAAGAAGTTCGGTTGGTTTTGTAGACGGTCAACAAGCAAAGTGCATGGCGTAACACTTACTTATAATGGCAGTCGGCACATGATTGAATCAGTATTGGTATAAGGATTCTTGCTAGTTAGACATGTGTGGTGAACCAGCAAAATCGTCAATCTGATCGAAACACGCAAGAAGATGCCCCTTTCACCTCCATATCTGTTTTACAACTATCTTTCTTTTGTTTCTAGAGTTAGAATAACCTTTACAAGATTATTTGTCACAAATAACTAGGTTTGGGCAATCAATTACGCGGTGTAAAGTGGTGTGACGCGTTCGTGACTCGTTACGTCCGAGGGCTAAAAACCCGCCCGTCAGCTGGTAATGCAACGCCGAAAACAAATTTGCAATTTGCAAAAAAACTTCTAAAATTTCTAACATACAAAAACTTTTAGTAAAATCTAAAATAAGCTAAAGCTCAAAATAAACTATAAACTGATACTAAGAACGAGTCCGTCGGCCTGTAGTATCATTTCGTACTTTTGGTAAACTGAAAACTTCGAAGAAAATTTAAAATTAAAATCGGCTTTTTCACTTCCGACTCCATTGTTTTCACCACGCTCTAACGATTCTGATTTCAGATGAGTTCCTTTCGATCGTTTGTTTTCGACCCAACGCTGCTCATCAGCCAAATGGTGGCCCTGCAATCGGTCTTCTATTCCGCGCAGTCGGTTTCGTTGATGGCCTATTCATTGACGGGATATCAACCAAGCGTTTCTCACATTTTTACGATACAGGTGGGAGTTCTTGCTTTCTTCTAATAACCGGAAGCTTCCAGCCACTTCGCTTCACTGCATTGGTCCAGTTGGTAGCAGCGGTCGGTGTGGCGGTGGCGATTTCATATCTGGTACGTCCTGAATACTGGGAAACCCGTCATCTCGAACTTTTTAGGTGCAACGGACAAGACAGTGCCTCGACTTTGCGTGCACAGTACACTTGTTCCATCTTCTGCTCGTCTGCATTTATAATGCGACATTTCCGACTTCATTGCTGTGGTGGTTATTGCAGGTAATGCATTTCGATGAGGAATTCCGAATCTCCGATTCCAGCTTGTCAGCGTTACGATCTGCACCGTGCTCGGCGAATATCTCTGCACCCGGCTAGAATCCCGCGAGATCAAGCTTACCAACAGCCCGTCCAAATATGACCTGTAAACTTCCTTGTATGTTTGTAGTACCCCGCGTGCTGTGTTATCCCATACGGGTATTTCAAATTGTCGATTGCTTTGTGCCTACTGGTTTTACGGGTTTTTTCAGCTTGCATAATAAAATCATGAAAACGATGTGTCTACATTCTTCCGGTAATGGGACAGGGGAGAGCTCGGGGAAGTCATTGCATTTTATGTGATCGGTTTATCACGTGAACGGCGCATCGAGCGATAAGCGGTAGCGCATTGCCCAGACAATTATTTTTGGATTGACTGCTGCGATGAGGTGGGTAATTATTTGAAAACGAAAATTTCGATAAAATACTGCTGCTCTCAAGGTATCTTTAGCTCCTCCGATTGGCCGCCAGGTAATAACGAAGCCAAAGAACGCTTTGGGGATGACTTCGAGAAGCTTCATATCGCAAGCCGGCTTTCCATCGGGAAAGCAAAGCAGTTAGCCGTGAGTTTAGAGCGGTAGCTTCGGATTTTCAGGTCATTTTTATTAGGTTGGACCATAAGTTCGTACAATCGAACTTCGGAAATTTCTTTCTAAAATTTTTGTGGCCCGATATTACTGTTTCTTTTCCCCCATATTGGCGGAGCTCAATAGTATGTGGGATAAAATTTGCAAGATTTTAGCCGCAGTAGTTTTTATTATTTTTGCGTTTTTTCTAGGAGGCGTCTCAAATTTTTGACCCGGACATCTTTCAGGATCACCATAACTTTACCATAGCAATGAAGCGCCAGCAAGATAATATTTTTTAACTGCTATTTAGATGCTGAAATATGCAAAAAGATAAATTGGGACTGTTTTGGAAACAGCGGGCCGCAGCCTTTTTCGATTTTCTAGTAAATTGAACTGTAAAAATTCAAAGGGAAATGGATTGTGATTCCGACCCCCGGGCTCAATAGAGCAGTTGATTCTGCATACGTCAATCACTAAAACATTTTGTTTATCTACCGTTTTCCGGAGCGAAAATATAAAATACTGAAAAATGTTGCACGAACTTTCGGTCCAACCTAATACAGAATGTCGACCCGGTAGTGATGCCAATCTACCAATCGACCACCTATCGCTTCAAGACTGTGGCTCAATGGGACGAGCCAAACCACGTGAGGCATCAATTACTGATGTTCAACAATAATAGGGCTCGAATTATGTGTATAGCCGCTGTGGAAACCCGACGGTCGAGAACGTAGAAGTGGTGCTGGCCGATTTGGAAGGAGCCGCCGCCACGATGGTTTACAACTCTGGGTTGGTTGCGGTGTCGGCCGTTCTTCTGGAATTTCTCTCGGCTGGGGATCATGTGGTGGGGTGAATTACGGTTTTACGATCTTTATACCATCTAGGTGTGCATGAAGCCGCTTTATTCCGGGACCTACTCGTTTATGACGGAAACTTTGGTGCGTTTCGGCGTGGATTTCACGTTCGTTGACGTCGAGAAAGAGCAGGATTATGCCGTGGCTGTCGAAAAGGCGATCACCGCGAAGACAAAGGTAAATATTTTTGGTGAGAATCAGATTCGGTGCTGGTTTGTTAGCGGGGGGGGGGTGACCTTTCCAGTGTTGCCGTCTAAATATAGACGATTTTGATAGGCGTTTACGTTCTTTTGATATATAATAGGTCAGAAAAATTAATATAATTTTTTTATAAAAATTCAATGATTCCATTTTTCCAAGATCCAATCATTCAAGTTAAAATTTCCAATTTTCAAAATGTTTGATTCTAAAAACTATTTTTAACAAAAACTACTCAGACGATATAAAATTATTTTATGTTTTAGTGCTATGAAGGTAGCCGGGATGAGAAGTAGTTCGCTCCCCCCCCCCCCCCCGCTAACGCACCAGAACTCCAAATTCTCAATGATACCTGCCTGATTTTTCCTTAAATCCACATCCGACCCGTGCCCCCGCGGCCCCCAAATAGGGTCAAATTGTGCAAAAAGCCCGGGAGGTGGATGTGGTAGTGATACGCGGGGTGGATGATGGATGGATGGACTGATTGCCCTCCCTAAACAATGACCCACTTCCTGTCCCCCTCCGAGACATTCCGCCCGATCCACTGACCGCAATTTGTCTCGCCTCGGACTGGCCCAAGGCCGTATCCCCGATAGGGCATTCGGGAGCCCGTCAGCGAGACAAAAAGCCTTGAACTGTACGGATGGGTGACGGAGATCTATCGGATTTTAAAAGGATGGCGTGAGGAGTCTGGCTATGATGAAACTGATCATCTGATTTGGGTTGTAGATTCTGAATTTAAAGGGATAGGGGCGGCATAAGTCAATCGATTACGCGCGGGAAAGAAAATGTCTCTGCGCCTCTCCCCCTGGGCGCCCTCGCCGGCCGGTCGCGCTGGGACCTGTTGAACCCCCCCCCCCAAGGGGGGTTCAACAGATGCCGTCCTCATCTCTTTAAGGGAGATCCGGACGTTAAGATACAAATAACGCCTTGTAGATCTCGTTTTTCAGCTCATCTACATGGAAGTCATCGCTAACCCGTCAATGGCCGTCCCGGATATCCTCGGCATCATCGAGTTGAAGAACAAGCGCAACGATTTGAAGATGGTCGTCGACGCCACGTTCGCCTCGCCCTACTTGCTCCAGCCGCTCAAAATCGGCGCCGACTTTTCGCTGCACAGCTGGTAACTCCAAAAAATAACTCGTTGCACTACTCTTGACTATGTTACGCTCCTTTTGACCCCGGGAATGCTACTTTAGCTCGAAATACGTGGGCGGGCACTGTGATGTGATAGCCGGCTGTGTGAGTTGTGCCTCGTTGCAAGACTGGACGCGGCTAAAGGTGCAACAGTTGACAACGGGCAGTGCATTGGTACGGTAGCATTTTGGTATTTTAGGAATCGCTTCAGGGAATCTGTTAAATCTCGAATTTTTGAGAATCTCGATATTCGATAGGGCGGACTTTCAATTCCCAGGCCCCCCCCCCCCCCCAAAACCAACCCCCCCAAACCCCCAAAACCAAAACAAAATTTCCCCCCCAAACCCCCCTCCAAAAAAAAAAAACCCCCAATTTTTTAAAAAAGAAAAATTTTAATAAAAATCCGCGCTCAACAACGAGTTTTCCCCAAACAGAAATCTTCCAACCTTCTAAAAAAGCCCAAACTCAAAAAGCTTTTGAACGATAATCAAAAGTCAGAAGATCCCCAACTCCGGTTCGTGATGGTTCACGCCTATGGAAATTCGAGATAATGAAAATTCGAGTTACTCATTTTGTAGATTCCGATAGGCAACCATTCCTTGAAGGGTGCTAACCAAAGTAAGCCGACCAGCTGCGATAGGATCTGCCTTGAGGCGGGGGTATTTGGGTGGCGCCATAGGGATCGTAAAGGATAGGGCCGGAGGGTCCTAATGGACGGGAAGGCCACGGATGACTCAATGCCATCATAGCAAAGGCCGTTCCGTTAATAGTCGCATTTCGGAGGGTACGGCAAAGATACCAAATGTCGATTTTCAGGTTAAAACGCGGTAGAAATAATACCAACCACAAAATCCCATTTTTATAATGCTATTTCAGAGCCCCGTTGATGCAGCGCTGCTGACGCGCGGCCTGAAGACCTTGGCGATCCGGATGGATAAGATCGGCCAGAACGCGATGGCCCTGGCCCGCCACCTCGACGCCCATCCCAAGGTGGGCGCAAGTATCGATCGATGGAAAGCACTAAATATGATAAAAAAACGGATATTTCATGCGATTTAGGTATCACACAGCTATTACCCTGGCCTACCCTCCCACCCGCAACACAAAAGCGCGGCGAAAGTAGGTTTCAGAAACAAGCCCTATTTTTATTTTGAAAGCCGGTCCCGGTTGGCCCAGTAACCAAATATAAAGTGTTTTTACATAGTTTTTAGTAAGTTTTAGATATATTTAAAGTCGAAAACTTTCGAAAAAGTTAGACCAATGTTTGAAAAGGTCGAAGGTTTGGTCATTTTGGGTTGAAGGAAACAATTTTTCGATCTAAAATTAAATTTTTTAACTAAAATTGGTATAGTTTTTATGCTCAGGAATAGTTAAACATAATTTAGAAACGCATCCGCTATTTCTAAGAAAAAAATTTTGGCTTCGGTCGAAAAAAGTCCCCCCACATAAAGAATCGAATTTTTCAGCTGTTCCCGCATGCCAACTTCTCGGGAATGATCGGCTTCGACGTGGGCACCGAGGAAAAGGCGATCAAACTGATCGAGGTCGGCGCCAAAAACCTATTCCGCTCGAAACGGGCATTGAAGGGCAGCAGATTGGCTACATTTCGCGCGACTCTTCGCCCCTAATTACCCGCATTTTCACGCGAAACTCTGAGACGAAAAAGTGTCGGCATTTCGTCGAGAAAATTTTTTTGAGCACTTGAAAATTTTTAGAACCTACGCCTGATCACGTTGGCCGTGTCGTTAGGCGGAACAGAATCGCTGATCGAGCATCCGTTTGCGATGAGCCATGGCAAGCAGTTGCTCCGGAATGAGGACGAGCCGCCGATGGTAGCCCCTGGGCTGCTGCGCTTCAGGTATACAAAAATTAGTATGAAAAACTGAATTAAGGCGTCTAATATTTTTTGGGATACTAACCGTGAGATTCCTTTTAAATCTCAAATTTCAGTGTGGGCTTGGAGAACGCGGATGATCTGATCGCCGACCTCGACCGAGCCCTGGCACTGATTTGATCGAGCTGTAATTAGGAGCATGTACTAGAAACGAATAAAAACGAGTAAAAAGGGTTTCTTTAATTTTGGTTTTTGCGTTCGTCCACAAAAACAAACTCCCAACTTTTATCTTGTTGGGCGAAACTAATTTCTTATAAGAATAGCGGATGCGTTTCTACAATTTTTTAAACTCCTCCTAAGCGTAAAACCTTACAAATTTTTAATTACAATTTAATTTGGGTCGAAAAATTGATCTTTTCGAGCCAAAATCGCCAACTTTCGGCTTTTTCAAACACCTTTCTAACTTTTTTTTGAAATTTTTCCTACTTTAAAGATAGTTAAAACTTACTAAAAACAATGTAAAAACACTTTATATTTGTTTACTAGGGCAACAGGGGTCACAAGGAAAAAAAATCGGTCGTATACTGTCGTACAATTTGCGCTCATCGGATCGCCCTTTTTCGATGGCCGACTATTCCTGCCCCCGGTCCACAGACAGTAGCTATCTTAGGGGCAGATCTTTTGGTGGGGGCAGAGTGGGCAGCGGCTATCTTCAGCCCTTTCGGCGACACCCTATCTCGGCAACAAAAACCCGCGGGGGGACCCCGGCCAAGGCTGTGAGTCCCCCCTTTTGAGATAAAACGCGACGAGACACACGATGAGGGGGGATCGATCTGAAGCACAGATTGTTTACTGGTGCCCCCGGGCGATATCGTTTCCCGACCGGCGTGGGGGAGGTGGAGGAGACCGTTCCTCGGCTGCCACCGATCACCGCACGGTAACTACGGTAATGCCGACCAATCCTGGAAGTGATATTGGCTGAAAAACTTGTAAACATTGATTTGCTGTTCTTAGATGATCTTATAGTTGATCGGGCACTTTTTTTTAGCAATATCCGTAGTTTTGATTAGTGATGGGGTTTTTCAAATCAAATCATTGACTCAAATCCTGAGTGCTCAGATCTGAATATTTGGAGGCAAAAATTTCAATTTCAAATCGGCGGATTTGATTTGAGATCCGTGGACGAGTTCAAATCAAATCTCGAGGATTTGATTAAGCTTCCGGTCCTTAATCAAATCCTGTGGAGTGCCGGCATGCAAAACATAAAAAAGTCGCCTATGGCCGAGCTGGCGGGAAGAAATGACCTTGATTATGCATACCATCATACAATTAGCATCGCGTAATAGGCTATTGATTTTTCGACTCCTTTCAAATCCTCGTTCAAATCTTCAGATTTGAACTCAAACCTCGAAGTCCAAATCAAATCGATTTGTTTGAAGTGCCGAAACCTTATTCAAATCAAACCGTCAGTTTGATTAGTCGGTTGCAATTAGATTTGAGATTTGAATAATACCATCACTAGTTTTGATAAAGGCTGGGGTTCTTTAGGATTCGGGGGGGACAAATTTTTTTTGGCCCAGCCTAAAATTTTTTTATAAATAGCGGTTGCGTTTCTAAATCGTCTGAAACTATTGCCAAGCATAAAAAAATATAGACATTTTCATTCAAAAATTCAATTTTGGATAGAAAAATTGAATTGTTTTCGACCCCAAAATGACCCAATTTCGACTTTTTCAAATATCTTTCAAACTTTTTTTTAGTTTTCTACTTTAAATATAGTTAAAAGTTACAAAAAACGATGTAAATACATTTTATATTTGATTACTAGGCCAACCGGGACCGCCAGCAAAAAAAACGTTTATTTTGAGAGGCCACTAGTCTTTAGCAAAATAAAACTTCTAGCTCGGTACTTATAAAAAACACTTTATCACCAAAAAAAACGCAGAAATAAATCCCATCGAAAATCCCATAGCTTTTTGCACCGCAAACACAGCAATCACAACCACTCGCTTTTGCTCACCTCGAAGACGCGCGGACAAGCCACAATTCATGCGAGCCTCTCACGCTGCGCCGATTCAGCATCAATTCAGTGGCTACGACATAACTACCACCCTCAATCGCATAATTTTTAGACCGTTCTAAAGTGTGCTAAAGGGGACAACATAGCCGAGCCGGCGCCTGGCTTTGGTAACCCTAGCTTTATGACGCACCGTAAGGCTCATACAGCCAAATCACCAAAGCGAGGCACTTTGGCTATCGGGTAGGGTAGCTAATCTGTGGTAAATGAAGAAAATTGAAAGATTTTCGAGCTATTCTCGACAATTAAAAAAATAGACGAATTTTCAATAAAAAGAGACAAGCTTGCTGGACACTTCAATTTTTCAAAGCAATAAAAGAACTTTTCAATCCAAAAAGCAGAAAATCAGAAAATCTACAATAACCAACACCCGATCGATCACAATCGGTACACCTAAGTGAGGTGGGAGTTGAAATTGACAGAAATTGAGAATCAACTACTGTCCAGTCTGCTCTTAGAAGCCAAAATAAGTAGACATAGTTCTTCATACAAATGCGCTAAGCCACTCTAAAAACCTTAAAACAGAAAGGTTATTAATTTTTTCTAGCCAGGGTGAAATAGTAAGTATCCGTGTGTGTCCGGGGGTAACTGCCGGGCTCGGGGAAATTTGGGAAAAAGAAGGGAGAATTTGGAGGACACGCTTATCAGTGGCCGCCACTGCTACTGCCATTACCCCGGCCACACAACGGCTACCTGGACCCTCTTCTCCTTGTTTTTTTCTTCTTCTGTAGACGCGCCCTCTATCTTTATGTCTCCCTCGCCCGCTCCGCTGCTCTCTCGCTTCTCTCGCTTCGAGCTGTCCAAACAGATTGCGCGCGAACTTCAACTCCCCCCCACACAGGTTGAGAGCCGCTTCAACCCCTGACCCTTCGACACCTTGTTCGACTCGACGACGTGGATTTAGCGCTAGAATAAAATGCAGAAATTGTCACTATTGTAGCGCTAGATAGTAGACGACAAGCCTCAAAATAACGCGCACGAAAAAGATTCAAATCAAATAGATAAAAACCTAGAAGTATCAAATAGTCCCGGATACCGTACCAATCCGTGGCTGCAGACGGACGGAATTAGTGCGGCTCGAGTGCAAAAATGCCACTTTGCCCGGTCGATCTTGGAGGGGGTTGAGCGCCTCGGTTAGGAGGTGGGCGGAGCCGATCATGATTTATTGGAGGGGTGGATGGAGGAGGGGCCGATCGCACCCCCGATACGGTACGGGTAATCCACCTTTATCTCAATCCATTCCCTCTACTCTTTTTAGATCACGATTTACGACGGGTAGACCCTGGGGATAGAAAAAAGCAACTTGATTGTAACTGGCGATGATATCGAAGACAATAAAGGACGATATTGGAAGTCCATGCAACCTAAAGCTCGTGCTCCTACACTGCGAATTTCTACTCAACAGATAGTGTGTTTTTAATAATAAAAAACGGTTCTGGACGGTTAGCGGGGGGAATCAAATCTTTCCCTACTACGGCTCTATAACAAAAATAAACCATTTTTATTGCATTTTACATAATTTTTCAGAGATAAAAAAATCTAAAAACTATTCAAATTTTTCGAAAACTTTTACCTTTTGGTCAAAAAAAAGTATGAAAAACGACCAAAAGGGCTTAAATTGTCGAACTTTGAAACGAAATAAATTTTTTTATAACTTGTAGCAATTAAAAACTAATAAAAACACTATAAATTACATACTATATAATCAATAGACGGAAAAAACAGAGTAGTTTCCCCCCTGCTAACAGTCCAGAGCCTAAAAAACTAACCGGAAGGATAACACCGCTTTCGGACAAGTCTTAATTCGAGCCAAGTAGGGGGCAGTAATACCATTATCGGTTCAAATCTGAAACAACTTTCAATTAGGCATCGCGGAAAATAGTGCCAGCGAGGTTTTCAGCGATCGGCCTATTAAAAAAAGTTGCGCGCTTGATATTACAAAACTTTATCAAATAAACTGTACACCGTGAGCATGTAAACATTCAAACTACTAACAAGCGATACCCGAACAATTACCCACAAATAAAGGCGAGAATTCTAAACTCTAACTGAGGACAAAAACGCGATCTTAGCAAATCCGGGGGCGAGTGATACAAAAATCTGACCATGAGATGAATGAGGGCGGGTGTTTCAGTGTTCTGCGTCTTCTACTTCTTCTTCGGCGACAGCTTCATGGACACGATCCACCGTGGTTGAGGCGATGCCTTCAGCTGCCGTGCTTCCAACGATTGATCCGACGATCGTGCCCACCACTGCGCCCACGCCGCCAAAAGCCGATCCAAGCCGGGCCCCACATGATGCGCCTGCAATTTGGAAATCAGATCTTACACACGAGATATGGTATAATCTGAAATTCTTACGAGAAAAATAGCTGTGCCTCCCCAATCGAAAGTTGATCAGAAAATCTGGTACTTATCAAGTTGGGGGGGGGGGGCACTTTGGTTTTCGATTTTTTGAGTCTTTCTAGGCTAATTTTTGTTGCTGGTTTCGAATATAACAAAATCAGAGTTGTAAAATGCGCTTATATAATTTGTTAAGATTTAGAGATGCAGACACCCGGTATCAACCTAAAAATAAGGCTTCGTGCCACCGGGGCCCATCCGAAGCGACGGCCCCTTGCCTGACAATGCGGCCAGCCTCAAATTGTGCATAGGTACACTTTTTATTAATAGTTTTCTGGATAAACACGACGGTTTGGCATGCTGTTGCTACTCTCTTCGCACTCAGCATAAAAACTACCCCAGGTAGACTCGAAAAAGCGATAAAAAGTGTCCACTATAAGGTACCAAAGTGCCCCCTAACTTGATAAGTACCGAAAATCTTTTACCTAGATGCGCCCCACCAGCCGAAGCAGCCATTTTTGCCGTCGTCTTGACCGTGTTGATGTGGGTGTCTTCTTTTAGATCTTGCTAGAACGATCAGGCTGAATGTGGAAATTTACACGTACCGCTTTCGCGTCTCCAATTTTCGCGCCGGTAACTGCGATCTTCGAGAAGATGGCCGCTTTCTCGCCCACCGTCTTCAAAGCGCCGGACAGTGTCTCGACTGTCTATAAAATATATTTTCTGTAATAAAAAGAGAAAAACGCACCTGTGGATCTAAATCTGGAAGGATTGGCATTGTTGATGCGATGCTTGTGCTGAAAATGGATAAAATTTCATAAAGGGCTAAAATATTTAAAATTATTACAGTTGAATACTAAAAAAGGCCATCAAGGAACAGCCGCGGCGTTCAAAACCGACGGAAAACCCCAACCGTGTGCTAAAACATGACCGTCCACTTTACACAATCCGTCATTTGGAATGGCGTGTTCGCAGCGTTTCTCCACTCGATTTTCTTTTTCCAAGCTTTTCGTTTTGTTATTTTATCCCGCGTTTCGCCTTTGATTTTTCTATCTACTTTTTATGCTGTTTATTTCCAGGAAGGAACTGCACGATGCCTAAACAGGATACGGAAGAACTTCGCCGCCGCCGCCTCTCGGAGACTAGCTCCGACGAGCAAGAGCTTGACATAGCATCCCTTCAGCTCGAACCGGGCCACAGCGAGGAACGTACCGAAAAAGAAGGCAGTGGCCAAGGTTTCACTTTTTGCTCCGGTGTCTAATTCCTTTCCTAGGGTGTCGCCAAAAAGCACAAAGTGGAATCGTCGGAAGATGAGGAAGAGCTCGAGGAGGCTGATCATCCCGTAATAATTCTTTTGTGGCTGGAAATTGTTTTAGAATGTGGCCAAGCCGCGCAGGAAACAAGATCACAGTAAAGGAGCAAGCTAACTGTAAGCATATCTTTAGCCTTTGATTTTTTTCTTTTTTTAGGAAGATCGGCTGACTGATGAGGAGAGTCTGCACTCGGAGGGGGAAGACTTCGAGGCTGTGGAGGTGTTTATGGCACTTCCTTTTTGAGCCTATTTTTAGGATGGGAAGCCATCGAAGAAACGCATGAAGAAGAGCACGAAGATTGCCTTCACTTTTTCAATACCGCAAGGCTAACGACCTGACCGAGCTGCCCCGGGGCACGAAAGAACTGGCCAAGTTTGTGATCGACAATCGTCCTTTTGGCAACTTTGATCAGCTGGTGAGTTCGTACTCGTTTATTTAATGATCGATTTTTTAGGAGCTGAAGCTTTCTCGCGAACGCGGCGGCTACGCCGTCATCGAGTCGTACATCGAGGATCTGCGAAAGCGTGGCATTCTGAAGCGTATCCTCGACTGCTGCGACGTTGACTCGGCCAATGTAATGATTTTGCTTTCATGAAGCCTTGCTTGCCTCTTCAGGTGGAAAAGGATTTCGAGCAAGTCAAACATGACGACACCCTGCCGGCTCTCCTTACTAAAGAGTTAGTTCGTTTATGTATATGTAGTTTTGCATTTAGTTATCACCTTCACCGTTATCAACAAGAAGGCCTCAACTGGCTGATCATGATGCATAAGAAGAAGTTGAACTGTATCCTGGCTGACGAGATGGTTAGCTGATCAATCTTGTGATTGTTAATTGATAATTTAGGGACTGGGAAAGACTATCCAAATCATTGCTTTTTGCGCTTGGTTGAAAGAAAAGGGAGTGAAGGGCACGCAGCTGATTATCGTCCCGTCGTCGACCATGGAGAATTGGATGGCTGAGCTCGAGAGATGGTGTCCTGCTCTAAAGGTATCTTGAAAGTCATCAGATCAGATATTCCATATTTTCTTTTGTAGGTTTTGGTTTACTATGGCTCGCAAGACGAACGCTACCAGATTCGCGCTTCGATGAAGAAGAAGAAGACCAAGGTTTTGTCATCAGCTACTCGATAATTTCTTTAGGCGGACATCATCTTGACCACCTACAATATGAGTACCAAACCAGCCGATCGCAAAATCTACCAGCAGTTCGAGGTAATATCTTTGCACTTGGTCATTTTTTCCATCAGATAAATTACGTGATCTACGATGAAGGCCATATGCTGAAGAATTGTGGTTCGCTACGTTTCCAGCAACTGATCACTATCAAGGTTTCCTGTCTCTCAGCGGTGTATATTTCGTTACAGAGCAAGCGCAAGATCCTGCTCACCGGCACGCCTCTGCAGAACAACCTCATCGAGCTCATCTCATTGATGTACTTTGTGATGAAAGATGTTTTCGACAAGTATTGCGATGACATGAACCATCTTTTGTCTCACTTCAAGCAGGTTGGGGTTGTCGGTTTTTTTGGTGGAGCCATTTTTATTCTAGCAAGGAGGTCGTGTTAATGATGCCGCTGAGAAAGCCCTCTACCAGCGCGATCGCATTGACCAAGCCAGGTCCATCCTTGAGCCATATGTCCTCAGGCGGCTGAAGATTCAGGTAATTTCCGATGTTAGCAAATTTATTTGTGGGTTTCAGGTTCTTTCGGAATTGCCCAAGAAGACTGAACAAACTGTGGCCATTGGAAATGACGGATCATCAGGTGATGCTCTACAATTACCAGCTTGAGGTATGGTTTGGCTCCTTGTGAGCTTCATGATGTGCAATCATTTCCAGCTGGCTCGTGAATCACAAGACGTCGATCGTCCGAAGCTTCGTGATCTTTACACCGGCATGATGCGTCTCAGGCAAGCGGCCAACCATCCTCTGATGACGCGTTCCGTCTATAACGATGACGAATGTGTCAAGATCGCCCAGCAGCTCATCAAGGTACCTATAGTCTGTAGATCCTTATTTTTTAGGAGCGCCCTACGAGAAGAAAAACCCGGACCATCTCGCCGAAGACTTGACTTGCCTCTCGGACTTTCAGATCCACAAGATTTGTGCCAAGGTTTACCTATTTTGCTGAGCTTGATAATTTGTTTAGTTTGCTTCCACGAAACAGTTTCTATTGGACAGCGAACTGTCTGTGTGCAGCGGAAAATGTGCCTATCTCGATAAGGAGCTGGCTCGCATCAAGGGAATGGTGATTTTTAATACATTTCTAAAATTAGATGTGTTTAGGGCGAGAAGGTGCTGATCTTCTCGCAATTTACCGAGATGCTCGACATTCTCCAGTTGTACATGGAAGTCGGGGCCACACTTTCTTGCGTCTCGATGGAGTACACCGGTGCTCACACGGTAGGGGCGAAATTAGTTGGCTCCGGGAGTATACTCTTTTAGGCAACACCTCATCAATGAATACAACAATGATGATTCGATGTTCGTCTTTCTGTTGTCGACTCGCGCTGGTGGATTGGGAATCAACCTGACCGCCGCCAATCACATCATCATTCACGATATTGACTTCAACCCCTACAATGACAAACAAGTGTGTTTGTTTATCCTTATATGGTTTGGGGCGCTTCATTTTCTTGGCCGTGTAAGATTTAACATTGCTTTTGCAGGCCGAAGATCGTTGCCACCGTCTCGGTCAGAAGAAGCCCGTACAGGTTATGCGCCTTGTCGCTAAAGGTACGCAATCCATCAAATGGTTATAGTATTTTTGCAGATTCCGTCGAGGAAGGCATGGAAAAGACTGGCCAAACTGGAGCTGGATCTCGAACATGAAGTGACGATTGCTGCTCGTGGAGCTCCTGGTTCGTTGTTTTGAAATTTCTAAGCGCGGCGAATGTTGCCAATTGTTTCCATCATGGAATTTTTACATTATCGTTTTCCAGCTGCTGCCGATGCGGAAGGGACTGAAGGCCACAGCGATGAAGAAGAGGACGCCAATGAGCTGAGACGCATCATGACTCAGGCCAGGGCCGTTCGACGTCGCAAGTGAGAAGTTCCTATCCCATCTCAGCTGTTCCATTTCTCTAATATTTTGCCGTGCTAACTGATTTTTTGATTGATTGCTTTATCGCTTGTGATCTACTATTTTACAGTAGATTTTTGTAAAAATGGCAGATGATGCGTGCCATTAACTAAATAAAAATTTTGTCGACTGATTTGGACGAAGTCCCGTGGAAGTTATGTATTCTTTCCAGTTATTTTATTGGAAAAACGCTATTTTTGTGCAAAACTCGAACTCTTACGCAACCTTCACGACTATACGGTTTGCGAATAGAGGAGGTAAGTGGTGTCGCTATAGCACGCCCCGGTTCCTTTTCGCGGGAAGTCCAAATGCGGGAAAACGCGCCGGATTCTCCTGGTATTACCAAAGGAGTGTTGATCGGATCTCCAGGCTTTGGTTTTTCACTCGTTTCTAAGCTATACCTTGATCCACTTTTCTTCAAACAGTTCTTCCAGGCAATGAATTCCAACCCCGGACATATGGGACTTGTTGACCGTGAGGCAGAGCAGCGGAACCGAGAATACACACAGGAATATGTCAACTTTTTCGATGATTCCAAGGCAAAGCCAAATCCGGTTCTCCAAACTGTCAATTCAGAGCGACAACCGCATGCACAAGCAAATCGAGGAGTTCTGCGATGGCCAAATCCCACGTGTCATCGTCAGCATCGATTCCTTGAGGGATAAGCTGCCGTCGCGGGCTGAGGGGTTTGGATCTATCGTTTTTCTACAACATGCGCATTTAGTTTGATCAAGAACTTTGCCGATGAAGTTACTTGCGTTGAGGCTGCCCTGAAGGAAGTGCGAATGCGCACCAGTGATGCTGATTTTGACGGCCACTACAATGTCGGATTTGAGGTGATTAGAGTGACTAAGATTAACGTTTTCCTAGGGTGCCTTTGGCGAGCGCCACGTCAACCCGCGATCTTTGAAGAGTCCGTTCCTTGGGAATATGGTCTGCTGCGAGGGCATCGTGACCAAGTGTAAATATTTATGAATATAGTAAGAATTCTCTATCCCTGTCCAGGCAGCACGATCCGCCCGAAAGTTGTTAGCAGTGTGCACTACTGTCCTGCCACAGGCAAAACGCTTGAGAGGCGCTACACGGATGCCACTGATGCGGGTGCCATGATTTCATCGAACACTTATCCTACCCAGGTGGCTGCTAGAGCGCTTTTGTTCAATCAACCGTTTAGGATGAGAATAAGAACCCGTTGACGACCGAATTCGGCCTCTCCCACTATAAGGATCATCAACAATTCACCCTACAAGAGCTGCCAGAATGCGCTCCCGCCGGTCAACTGCCAAGAAATCTCGACGTCATCGCCGACTGGGATCTGGCTGATGCTGTCCAACCTGGTGATCGGGTAAGCTCCCGCTTTCCAACATATTATGTGTTTTTTTAGGTTCGTGTCATTGGGCTTTACCGTGTCATGCCGAAGAAGCGCCAAGGCTACACTGATTGCTCTTTCCGGTGAGTGACACCACCTTTACTTGACCATTTGTTTATGCCTCTATGTCTCAATCATGATTTAGCTCGCTCATCATTGCTAACAACATCCAGCACATGTCCAAACTGGCCAGCCCTGATCTTGGAGCTGACGACATCAAGCGCATCCGCAAGCTCGCCAAGGACAAGGATGTATGTCTTTTGCAAGAGAAAAATACATTCTTTTAGGTTTTCGACATCATTGCTCGTTCGCTAGCCCCATCGATTTACGGCCACGAGGAGGTTAAGCGCGGGATCCTTTGTCTATTGCTCGGCGGCGAGGAGAAGATCACTGAGAGTGGTGTCCGCATACGTGGTGACATCAACTGCTTGCTGATCGGTGATCCATCCGTCGCCAAGTCTCAGCTTCTTCGGTAACTTTGCCCAAGTTTACGTTTTTATATTTTTAGTTACGTTCTCAACACCGCTCCCCGGGCGATCACAACAACTGGCCGAGGCTCATCTGGTGTCGGTCTGACTGCCGCTGTGACGACGGACTCCGAGTCGGGTACGTTATCTATTCTTTGATCTAGTATTGCTCCGTTGCGTAAAGAATGGGAGCTTTTCATCATTTATTCAATTTCAGGTGAGCGCCGTCTTGAAGCCGGTGCCATGGTGCTGGCCGATCGTGGTGTCGTGTGTATCGACGAATTTGACAAGGTAATATTTTCGACGTTTCCTGTTAACTCGCATTTCTAGATGTCTGATTCTGATCGTACAGCCATCCACGAAGTGATGGAGCAAGGCCGCGTCACCATCGCCAAAGCGGGCATCCAAGCTCAGCTGAACGCGCGTTGCTCGGTGCTTGCCGCGGCTAATCCAGTCTATGGGCGGTGGGTTAAGGCGAACGATTCCGCTGGATGTTTCTAGGCTTTCAAAACACGCTTCCATTGCTTTTTTAGATACGACCCCTACAAGTCGCCAATGGAGAACATCAACATGCAGGATTCGCTGCTTTCCCGTTTCGATCTGGTCTTTGTCATGCGTGATGAGGTGCGTTTGCATTTTTGGTTAAAACTGCTTTTTTTTAGCACGACTGTGACCGCGATCGCAACGTGGCTGAACAGGTGATCAAGATGCACCGCTATCGCGCTAAGGGAGAACCGGATGGAGCCGTGCTGAAGATGGGCTCTGCTGTCAAGACCATTAGCACCAACGTATGGTTTTTTACAATTGCATTTACTTACGCTTCCGTAGGCCATGGAAGAAGAAAGCGAACGAGATCGCGGCGACTCGATGTGGGAGAAGGATGCGACGTGGACTGCCGTTGAGGAAACGTATGGTCAAAACTGTTCTGTTCTAACTCTTCTTTTAGGGAAAAGGTCCTGACGGTCGAATTCGTGCGCAAGTTCATCAAATTGGCGAAAAACGCGCCAACCCCCGAACTTGGCAAGAAGGTGACTTTCTTGATTTTTTTTTACTTTATCTTGATTTTCAGGCACGTGATATGATTGCCGACGCCTACACGGAGCTCCGATCTGTGGAATCCGTGCAGGAGGACACTGAGCGCACCATGATCGTCACAGTCCGTCAACTCGAGTCGCTCATCCGCCTATCGACTGCCGTGGCGAGGGCTCGACTTGCCAAGGAAGTTGATGTGGTCGATGTCCAGAAGGCCTACAACCTCCTCCACTTCGCCTGCTTCAAGGAAAAGCCAAAGCAGAAAATTGAATGGGAAAAGCGCCACGGCCGCAAGGTCACCGAAGTCGGCGATGAAGAAATGGAGGAAGACGAGGAGGCCCAGGATGTAAGCAATTTTAAAAATTACTGATTTTCCGTGATTTAGGAGGAAGTGATGCCCCGTGGCAAAAAGCGTACTCGTGCCGAGACCCCAGTCGATCCACAAGACGAGACTATGGACGTCACAACACAGGTACTTTTTGCGTTCTTAACTGATTTTTGGCTTTAGCAGGACAACACTACCATGGATACCGATGCCATCCAGCAACCAAGCACCAAGCGTATCCGTGTGGCCACGCAAGACGACCCAGCTATCATCGGAGCTTATCGGTAAGAGCGGCCTAATTGGCAAACCTCATATTTTCAGTTACAAACTCTTCAAGCAATATGCGCGCAAGGCTCTCGATAAGTTGTGCCCCGATGGAGATTTTGCTGACGAGGACGCCATGGAGCTGGAGCTCCAGGTACGTCACGTCTTGCCGTCGCCTACGTTTTGTTTAGAATTTGATGAAGGCCGACGGGCACGCCGAATTCACGGACCCCGAACTGATTGCCGGCTTCGAAAAGATGTCCGACCAGAACATGATCATGCGCAGCGAAGGAAAAGTTTGTCCAATCTAATTCCACCCCCCGCCATTTTTTGCAACACCCCTCCCCATTTTCCATTTTCTGTACATCCGATATGATTCCCTATCCGAACCCGGTATCAATCTTTTGAAATCTCAAAACTTACAGGTTGTTTCCCATTGATGGACAAAGATATTTGTTCTTGTGTCCCCATTCATAAATGATTTCAACAAATTCAGTGTTCCGAGGATTTGGCATTTCGAGTTTTATTATATTACATTATTATGCACAGATCACAGCGTAGCTAATATCCGACTATACGAGAATACCACATAGAAGAATGTTTGTATAAGGCCGAGTCCCAGGCAGTAGAGTGGGCTAACCGTTTTGTTGGCAGATGAGAGGGCGGAAGAAATGATGGCTGTCGTCACGGCCCCGATAGTCGCCGGGAACAGGATGGCGACGACTACAAGCCAAAGTTGGCGCAATTGTGAAAGATCTCTACCTAGCATTGGCACGATGGTAATGATGACGTATTCATGTTTGCGCAGCATCACCAATGCCACAAGTATGGCGACAAGGTGGACGATCAGATGGGAGATCTAAGAGACCTTCATCGATAGTCTATCAATAACCCACAGCCAGCCAGAGAAGGATGGAGAAAAAGATGTGCCGCCAAGACTCCATCTGGATCTCCGTGTTCACCATCAGTACGTCGAGAACATTGTAGGCCCTGATGCAAAATTTTTATCAACAAATATCGTTCGTACCAGGGCTCGGTGTAGTTGTAGTTTCGGAATAGCGAGAAATGGTCGACATTATCGGGTGTCGCCCCCTGTTGTAGGTGCACAGTTTCGTCCATATTAGTCAGCGTATAAATAACAAGGGCATCGCAAACTGAATTAGATTTTAGAGTCACTATCTCACAAGGAGACGTTTTTAGTGTCCGCGGAGTCTCGAAGAGGGACCAAGGCTATTTTGTGAAAAAAGTTTTCGCTGATTAAAACCTCGTTTTTAGAATCTGCGAAACGACCAGAATTCAAAAGTTACAAAGCTTTGTTTGAGAAGTTTGAGAAATGCCCAAAATGGCCAACATGCGCGGCTTTCGTCCATTCAAAACATATCATTTTCTTATTTGGGTAGTTTCGCAGATTCTAAAAATTAGGTTATAATCAGCGAAAAATTCTACATAAAATTGGTCCCACGTCGAAACTTCGTGGACACTAAAAAACGTCTCCTTGTGAGTCGCATAAAAAAATCACTCGTTCGAAACGAATTACCCTCTCTCTCCAAACGCTTCGCAGAAACCGGAAGATTTATCGATGCGACTATAAAATGAAACACCAGGGTGTGGGCACTGGGCAATACAAAAAAAGTGACAACTTAGAAACGGATATGTTAAATTTCGTACAAGATCACGGGGGCACCGAAAACAACAACAAGCCGTAAACCGAAACAACCCGAGGTGATGACGCGATTTGACTACAAATAGATGATGTTCTTGCTGGCGTAGCAGTCGGCAAAGGCGGCCTGGCATTCGCGCTGGAACCACCTGAAAATTTGGGTTATGGCGCTCTTCAGATAGCGTACCAATAGGGCGTGCCGATATCAAAGGCTGCAACGTTCGTGTAATTGAGGCCCGGCTTCTTGGCGGCCTTGATGGCGGCGGCCAACACTTCGAAGGTGGTCTTCCCGGCGGCCACTGGCTTTTGCTCTTGCTGTGTGGGGGTGAGAATGAAGAGACGATGAAGCTAAAACAACAGTATTTCATAAAGCTGTTTGATTCATTTCCGATGTAGTGGCGACTCGATTGGTTCTGAACTGTTAGCGGGGGGAACCAAATTTTTCCCTGATTTTCTACGGTCCTATAACAACATCTAATCCATTTTTATAGCATTTTACATAGTTTTTAGATAGAAAAATATAAAAAATAATAAAAAAAGGTATGAAAAATGACCACAACAAAATGTTAAAAAATATTTTTTATAACTTGCTAGTAATACTACTAAAAACTATCAAAATACATAGTATATCATCCACAGGTGGAAAAACAGGAAGTTCCCCCCCGCGCTAACAGTCCAGAACCACTCGACAGAATAGCACCAACCCTGTCATCCGGAATTTTTGCCGCCCCGTTTTCCAGCGTGATGACGTGCCGCTCCGCGTTCGATGCCAACCAGTCCAAGACGCCAGACACAGACGCTAGTCCATCCAAGCAGACCGAAATCTAGACAAAAATTTATGGTGTGGCCGACTAGAATACCCGATTGTTAGCCGGCAACTCCGAGAGGCTGTCCACAAAGACCACGTTCGGCAATTGATCATTCCCAGGGTCACACCCGTACACCTATAAAACGTTGAACCGGTCGAAGATGAAACACTCACAAAAACGGAGCAATTCTTATTCGCCAGGTTTACCAACAGACGATCCGTCAGCAGATGCGGGGTCGAATCGTTTCCAATGACAACAAGAGGCCCGTGCTCTGCGCGCCTGGAATGATTCTGATTGAAGCAAGCAAGCGAGCAAAACAACAACGTAAAAACAAGAGAATCACATAAAAGAAGGCCGAAGCAGGGACGACTTACCCGCGCGAGAAATCAACGACAAATTGTGCTAGCCGATCAGCACAGATGGCGTGGAAAACATCAGACCCGAGGTGGCGCTCAGCTTTCTGTCAAAAAAGACTTCAAAACAATTCTAATGAATACCTTCAAGAAACGCCGCTTCGTTTCCAGATCAACGACAGGGATGCGAGCACCGCCCAACGCCGACTCGAAGCCAGCCATCGAAAATTTATCACCACCAGCACCAGATTCGTAGGAGACAGAAGTCGAAGCAACATTGCCCTGAAGCTGGAATTTGGACCCAAAGCAAAAAGATACCCTGCTGCTGGAGGTCGTCGTTTGGGAGTTGTTCACCCACGAAGTCACCCGCGCCGGATCCTCGAGAATATTCTCATAATGTGCAAAGTTTTTGGAGACCTTCGGCTGTTCGACCTCGTAGTAGTGCTTGTCATCAGTCTCCTGAACAGCATTTTTGCAAAGCTAAAGCGCAACCAACGGCATTAGACTCGCGCTTGAACAGCGCCAAATTCGTCTCAAAGTCGAAATCGGTGTCGAGGAGCTGCCGGTCGATGGGCTGACTGAGTTCATTGTTTTTCCCACGAACGCGACCAGTCTTCATGCCGTCAAGGAGGGGGTTGCCGCAGGGGGCCCCTGAAGCAAATAAAAATCGCCAAGGAGTGTGGCTTACGACGTCCGCGCCCGCGTCGCTGGAAATCTTGTGGGTCTTCCAATGGGGGCATGGTAGGCGCTGGCACCTACAAAATAAACTCAAATAGCAATAGCAAGGCTACAAACCTGCGGTTCATAGGTCTTGTAAAATGGCGTCGGGGATATCCCTATCTTGAAGCGATTGTCATCATCATTCGAACGGGCTCGAGCCACTTTCTTGGGTGAGGCACCACTAAACAATGGCAAAACGATTGGACAGTCTTACCGCTTCTCCGTAACAGAATTGACCGCCTCAACAAGCTTCTCAGGTCGAGCGACATCCCTTTGCTTTCCAATCTAAAGACATGTTGGTCTAATCCTAACAGAATCACCTGAGTGGGGATGTTCTCTTGCTCTACCGAGGTTTGCGACGGGACCTAAGAAAATATGGTCATATCATGCATATCTTACTGCTAGTTCCGCAGCGGTTTTTAGGACTTTCAATGTAGCAATCGCAGCTCCGGGAAATTCTTTGGTTCCGACGGGCACACCTTCTCTACAAACACAGATTCGAATAAAAAACAGCGTGGGTTACCGGAAGGCGCGGTCGAGTGTAATCGTCTTGTTCGCTACATCGATAGAGGAAAATTTGCCCTAGTATTTTTTCCGATCTCTATAACGGGAATGTACCTGGTATTTGATACCGCTGCACTCTAACGACACCAGCGCGCCAGCGAATTCTTTCCACCTCTCATTCATTGGTGCAACATATACTAACTAAACACAATCAAATGATCCTTCTTCTACTAGTCAGAAACTCAGAATGGATTATGATGGCTAGCCATTTATTTTACAACATCGTTTGAAAAGTCTGCAAATATTTATTCGAGATAGCGATGATAGCCCGTTTCAGAATGATTATCGATAAAATGGCATCTAGCCCATGTATTCGAGTGGTCGGTTGAAGCCTCCTTTCCGGTTCATGTACTGGCGATAACGGCGCTTCTTGTTGATCTTCGCCTCTCCCACATCGTTGCCTTCCACCTGGAAAAATCCATGAAAATCTGTATTTTACCAGCGCTGACCCCCCGCTACGCGGGTGTTCAGCGCTGGCCTCCCCCACAATTTCAATTTTGGATTTGAATGCAAAATTTGGCTGAATTCCTGGTCGGGCGGACAGACGGACATTAGAAATTTATATATAGTAGATGGTTACCTTTTTGTTCTTTGTCGTGTCGAACCCTGCGAATCCCATCATTTTCGACATTTCTTCGTCAACTTGCGCCAGGGCCTCGGAGTCAAGCGGTTCTAAAAAAAACGGAGGTTATGGTGAGAAAAAGGAACACTAAAAATAGAACGAAAATCCTCACCTTTCTTGCTCTCACGTGGCTTATCCTTGCGCTTTTTCTCTTCCTTCTTTTCAGGCTCCTTCTCTCGATCCCTATCCCGACGCTCTTCCGTAAATCTAAATAACTTTTACGAAAATGCCCTAAACACTTACGAGACGCGCTTGTCGTGTGGACTCCGGCTTCTCGAGCGTTTTCCTTGTGAACTGAAATCAAAATTTAGCTATGAGCAGAGCAAGATACCGGCTGCGCTTTCTCCTGTCTCGATCGCGGCTTCTATCACGGCGATCCCGGTCACGGTTGCGATCACCACGCTCGCGATCACGATCCCTGGAACGGCTTCGTCGACGTCGATCTAAAAATAAAAAGATTAATTGAACGTAATTTCGCAATTCTACACCATTCCTCCCCCTTCCCGGTGTCGAATCAAGCAAATTTACCTCGACTTCTGCTTCGTTCTCTGCTCCTGTCACGAGCCATTGTACGCAAAGTTCTCTAAACGGAAATCTATCAGTTGTTATCGAGTTTGATGCAAAAGATCCGACCGAACGGGGCCTTTACTCCGAAGTTCGAACACACGCTAGGTTTTTGGCGCCCCCCAGTGCACAAAATGCCCATGTCCCGGCCCGTTTTGGTGCGTTTGGGCTGGAATTTCAAGAACAGCTCACGCGCCCCCGGGCCTGAAATTGCCCGACGCCCATTCTGATGCCGATTATTGCTGATTTTTTAAATTTCAAAAGAAATTTTAGCGATTTAAGATCATTTGGCGAAAAGCGAAACTGTATCGTCTTAGATATATTTTTGAGAAAGGGAAACAATTCCGCTTTTCCAGGAGCATGAAGTCAAAAATCGAGCCAGGATTGGGTCTAAACCTTCTAAGAAGACGTTTTGAATGCTAAAACAGTAAAAATTTTAATTTGAAAGAATTTATGCCTATTTCGGCCGGAATTGGTTCCCAGATGCCCAGGAATTTTAACCAAAGCTGCAGACCAATCAAAAGGTTGTCACGAAATCTTGATCTGAATGGTTTCACGAATGGCAAATTGAGGTGCAACCCAAATATATTTGCGATTTCGATTTATTTTTATAAAGTCTGCTTTGTAGTTTAGCCGTTTGGTCTAAGAACGTCAAGCGTTCCTCGAAATAAAAAAAACAAAAATAAAAACTGTTGTTGCTACGAGAGAAATATCAAGACGGTTTGCGGCATTTGAAGTGAAAGGTTGCGTCCGTTTCGCACCCTCTGAACGAAATTTGTTCGGAATGAGAATCGTTTTGTACGAATTTGAATTCCATTTCAAAATCCTTAGCCGCTGGCTCGGTCCTTTGATCCCGTTTTGGCAGTGAAACTCTCTTTCAACATTATGATCACACGCAACTTTGTCATCTACGTTGCAATCTTCCTTTTCTGTCGTTATTTCTCGTCTGACGAACTCACGGCGCTCTCGTTATTATTCTACCTGTTCCAGCTCTCGGTTCTTTGGCAAACGAGGCTCCATCCTATGGCTCTACGATTCCCACCCATAGACTTGCGTAAGTTCTTGGGAATTTTATTTTTTGGCTAGTGGATTACGAAGAGCGGTGCTTTCGCTTTATGGGGGTACCAAATACTACTGTTCAGAAATACGTAGTAACTAAACGCAAGTATTTTAATGGTCTTTGATTAGATGTGGATAGACTTCAAACAGAAAAACTATCAAAAAATTGTCAATGTGCATTTTTTTGGCGGAAAATCGATATCTGCAGTATTTTCTGATTTTGTAACGTTTTTTTTTGAAATTTTTGAGGTACTTTCTCGGTAAGAGTTTACTTTACCCTCCCCCACAGCCGAAGGGTCTCAAAGTTGTCGGTATTTTCGCTTATTTTGTCGGGATTTTTGCAACGCCATTCGATAGAGCGTCGAAAAATATACTAAGAGTTTTAATTTGAGCCTACAATAACGTAAAGTAAAAAACTTATAGCCAAAAACTTCCGGCTGGGGGGGGGGTAAAGTAAACCGTAGCCACTTTCTCTGTTTATTGGATCATACGGAAAAATTTTGTTAACCCCGATAATGCGAAAGCACCAGAAGAGGTGTTGGTACATGGTACATGGTTTTGTTTTGCAGAACCAGTGAGTCGGCCGTTCTTCTCCCAGGATCAGTCGGAGGGCAACTCGGCATACTATGATCGCTTCGATGATCTGGCTCAAAGACCCGGTACCTCCGATCGGTATGGTAGCACTTCTCGGCATCAAACCTTTGTTTTTAGACTGGAGGCGCTGCGTTTCCTTGACCGGGTGGTGAACTACCTTGGCGAACGCCCGCACGACGAGGCCACCTACGAAAATTTCTTTCAGCGGATCTGCGAGCTCGGCCAAGACGATGGTCAGTGCCTCGGCCGTGTCCTTGTAATTTGTTTTAGAAGCCGAAGTGCGCACGCGGCTTTTGGAATACCTGCCGATGCTGTTTGACGAGATGCGAAAGTCGCCAAAATTGGACCCTTACGTCGATCGATGCCTTACGCCGCTGCTAACAAGTGAGCTGAGGAATTCCGCGGTGGTCAGTTGTTTTACACGCGAATTGTAGGGATTCCATGTCCAAGTGGTTTTAAATTTGAAACGATATCTTGAATAATTATTTTATTTCTGTCTACTTTTTTTTGCCGACCCCCTATTCGGGCTGTATGCCATTTCTGGGTCCGTGAGCCTCCTCGCCATTACTGCCGCCCCCCGTCCCTCGATCCCCTCTGCGTTTTTAGTCGCTCACGGCCCGTTTTTTTGCCGGCTTTTTTGCCCGTGTCCTCTGTGGGTAGGGGGGCCTTGGCGAAGCTGCTTCCTCTCCTCTGCGCCCGCTATTTCCGCCCTCTTCTCAAATGAGCCCCCAGTCGGGCGGGCCGCCCGACGTGAAGAGCAATGTCGATAAGACAAAAAAAGAGAACGCTTGCACTTTACCTACGAATAGTACGAAAAAGCGAGCGAGCGAACGAGCAAGGGCTTTCGTACGATTCATGGCGGCTGCGTTGTTGGCTTGATGAGTAACTGGGAAAGACACATTCGGGATGGGTATTACGATTAGTTCACGCGCTCTTTACTACGGTACTGTAGTTCGGTGGCTAATTAGAGGGTTCTATCAGGAATCTGCGGATTTTTAATTAGCTATCTCGTTTTATATCTAGTCGCTTTAGGTCTGTGCTAAATTCCATAGCGTGCATCTAGAGTTCTGTTCAGTTTTATCCAGCGCTCGACTTTAGCCACTTTGAAAAATGGACGTGATAGTCTCCTTGAAAAGTGACTTTGCCCGCTCAGTACCCCTGAAATTACTAATTTCCAGTAACAGCGCAGCTCCAGTAATTTGTCTGCATGAGTAACATTTCTTTTTTCCAACTTCCCGATCAAGAATCCCCAAACAAAACTCCCATAACCAGGCACCAAGCCTAAGCAAAAAACCAAGCCAAGCTAAGACTGAGCACCCATGCCCAGGCTAAGCCTAAGCTAAGTATAAGCCAAGCGCACGCGAAAAAACAAGCTAAAACCCCAGCCAAAAGACCGACAGAAAGAAGCCCAACCAAAAATAGCTCCCAATCCTCTAAGGTACTTCGTCGATAGCTCCCAGTTAGATGCCCAAATACGTGCCCCTCGCTGGATTTGATTGCTGAGTAACCGCAAAGTCTTGAAATCCTAATATTTAGCAGCTTCAGCAAAATTTTTTTGGAAAAACTAGCCTTTCTGTTTACTCCTTCATAGATTTTTGAGCGATAGAGCCTCCATACGTGCTCCATCCCTGTCATTCCATTTTTCAAACGGCCCCTTTCGGTCTTTGGTTTCACAGAAAACTATCTCACTTTTGGTGCATCCCCCGGCAGGGCCCGTCCTCCTTCCGGCCCCCCACTGATAATCGTTTTTTGCGGTGTGCGTCTCTGGCAGGCTCTCTAGCCGTCTCCCTCTACCCCCTACCGAGGTCGCGCCATTGCTGCCAGCCGGTCGGCCATTGGTGGAAAGCTGTCCCCGCCCCTCACGAACACTTCCAGCACAGATGTGTTTGTCGGCCGGGGGCCCCCAGCATTCACATTCGCTTCTACCGACCCCCATTCCCCCTAGCCCCCACCCGTTAGGATCTCTCTAAGCAAACCGTAAACATTATGTTTCCCCACCATCGCCCACCATTTGCCCTCCTCCCCCATCACGTCATACCCCCACGCCCTGACCTCGACCCCCCCGACTAGCTATTCCCCTCTTAGGACCCCCACATCATATTTATTGGTTGGGTTAGGCATAACACTTGGACATGGAAATACTAGGAATTCGCGTTAAAATACCATAGCGGCTTTTCCAGGTCAGGAAAGCTGCCCTAGATGCTATCGGCTTACTGTTGGAACAGCGACTATTTTCCCCCGGTGATTTTTTTGGCCCTAGTTTTGTAGCGATCACCGTGCCGTTGTCTATTAGGGTTTTCCAGAATCCCTCAAGCACCTCCTGGTTCCTACGCTTTTCTTGACGCTCGAAGAGCCATCCATTTTCGATGATAACTCGTCAACAAGCGGCAGTTTTGCCGAAGAGCTCGGAGTTGAAACGACCACGGTACGGTATTTTCTGATTCTTTCTGGCAATACCGGTGGTTTTGGAGCTTGCTTAGTACAGACTAGCTAGGGGGAACATCAAAAACATTACAGTGGTTTCGAAATTTAACTTTTAAAGTATCGAATTTAAAATAGAATTTCAACTGTCTTCACCTCACTGATTGACCCCTGACCCCCCCCCCCTTCCCCTATTTGGTTATTTGTAATGGCTTATTGCTTTCCATCTTTTTGGCACGAGCCTATGCCTAGGCTCTGTGTATGCATTGCATTTTTATTCGCGAGCGGGCCCCGGGAACCCGGGGCTCACGATGGAAGAGAGAGAGAGAGAAATCGACGGCAGGCGGAGAGGCAGCCTTGTTCCCTCATCGTCTCTGTGTCTCCGTTCGCCGCTTTGATCCCTCTCCCCTCGGCGGGCCCGTGTGCGTTTCGTTTTTCTGTCTGTGCCACGGCGAAAAAGAGCCCCCGAGAAGGCCGTGTGGTGGGGCGGCGGCGGCGCAGCCGAAAAAAAACGACGATCGACAGGCGGGGGGCAGGGGGCGCTATTTCTCTCTTACTCTCTCGCCTCTTCCCTTTCAGTCAGCCAGAGCAGCAGGGGTGAGTGTGTGCTGTGAAAAGAGAGAGTGCCGAGCGGCCCGGGCTCGAGAAAACGTCTGCAACCCCCCTCCTCTCCTTGCTCTCCCCCCTCCTCCCCCCTCACCCTTCGCTGCCGAGCCAAACTGAAACGAGCACACAACGACCCCGGCCCCGCGACCCTGAAACAGACGCCATTCCTCTCCACAACTTTCCATCCTCCTCCCCCCATCGATTCCCCGGTCTGATCTTGGCCCCTCCGATATTCTCGGGGGTTTGTGATATGGCCCTAGGCAACTTGTGGGTGAAAGACATGGGTAGTGAGACGGTTCCTTGGCACGTATCACTATTCTGTCCTTCGCCTACCGGTGCCGTACCCCCGTCTAGCTGACCCGCTACGCCCTATTCTCTGGCTACGCTGCCCCACGTCCTGTACGTCGCCATTTCTAAATGTTGGCACGGCATACAGCGCGTCAAAGTGGTCCGTGATTTGTCACCAGGGCTCATATCACAGCCAGCTTTGATGTGCTGTACCGAGCCGTTATGCCATCCACTTCCATTAAAATGTTGACAGATTGCTAATAAACTTTTGAATGCATCATGATTGATGACATACTGAAACCCTCAGACATACACATAAAAGCCTTCTGTAGCGAGCGAGCTTCAAAAATCACCGGCGCCGATGCGAATATGGCCTTTTTCCAACCGCGCTATTTGCTCCTTTTTGCAGGTCATCTGTCGCGTCATCGGCATGCAGTGCATCGATGACAAAGAGTGGATCTTCCAAAACTTCGTCCCCAAGTACTCGCAGTTTCTGATCGAAAAGCCGGCCACTTTCTACATGCGAAAAGTACGTGGTCGCAGATACGCGACCTTTACGAGGGGGCCGTTGTGTCGAGAGCCTCTTACTGTAGCGCCTAGTATTTTAAGCCCCCGGCATCAGACATAGATTACCACGTGGTTTCCCCTTTTCGTTCCTTTCCTAGCTTACCATTTTCCTCTAGAGCCCCCTTCTCTACTGAGTTGCTGTGGGACTCTGGGAAATAGAAACGGGTGCGGCTGGCGCACAGCCCCCGCCCCTGCCCCCATGTGGGAGGATGAAAAATTGGGTGGGCAAAGGGAGCGCCCGGGCTCGCGGCGGGGCCTTCAGAAAAAAACGAAAAGCAATCAATACCCACCAGCCTGGGTAGCAGTTTGGGGCACATCTCTTCTCCCCCCATGCTCTTTTTTCCCCCATCGCCATCGGGTTCTCTCTTCTCACTGGCAGGCAGGCAACCTTCCTCCTCCTGGGCCCTCCCCCTATACCACGGTAGTCTGGCCTATTGGCCCGCTGCCAAGAACAGAACAACGCAGTGAGACGGAGGGACCAGAGCAGACTGCCTGCCTCACCCTCCCCCCCCCCCCTTCCCCATCCTCCTCCCCCCAGCAAACAGATAACAGCACAATGCCCGTCTCTCAAGTCAAAAAATGGCGGCCGGTCCCAGCTCCCCCTATCCGATTGTGGAATTGTCGGGCGATAGGAAAAGCCGTGCGGATTGCAAAGGGGGGGGAGATGAAGCCCGTGAGGAGGCAGGGAAATAAACGCCTTTCGAGGTAAATTCGAAAACAGGTTGAACGAAATGAACGAAAAACTTTTACGCCGTTTAAGTGGTTCTGGACTGCTGCTTCTGGACCACTTCAAGGGAATGAAGAAAAACATCATCAAACATGCTGAAATTTTTTGCTTTTTCAGTCTAACTTGTATGAAAATGGTTAAAAACTAGCTAAATTTTGTGGCTTTAGGATCAATGTTTTATAATTTTTGGTTGTCGGAAACGATTAAAAACATTAGTACAATAAATAAAATAAAAAGTTGGAAACCGCCCTGCCCCTGCACCTGGAAGCACCCTTTGCTGAAAAATCGCGATGATCTTGGGAAAATGTTTGCTTTTAGACAGCTCTACAAATCTTCGGCGAATTGGCTCGCAACTTCGGCCAGGGCTTTGTGGAAAAGTTCCTGGTCCCTCATCTCGTGTCGCTGGCCAAGGATGCCGCCTGGGGTGTGCGGAAGGGCGTCGTCGAGGTGTGCAGCCAACTGAATGCTTGAACTTGTTTTTGCTAGATTTTCGTCGAAATGGCGGCGTACTCCTCGCCAGCCGTTCGCCGCGAGCTGCTTGTGCCTGCGTTTATGCGTTTGCTCAAGGACGATGTCACCTGGGTATATTTGAAGGGTGTTGTTTTCGTACCAAGCATATAGGTGAACATGGTGGCCATTCAAGAACTCGGCAAGCTGATCTCCATCTTTGCTGAAAGCAAATTCAGCGGCCTCGCTCTGGAGGATGGAAAGGTAATTTTTTTGCGAGTTGGCAACGTAGCTTTTCGTTTAAGATCGTCACATGTTCCGAGGTCGAAGATGCCCCGGCTGTCTTGCCACTGCTTGATGAATACGCCAAAATACCGGCCGGGTATCGTTTGCCTTCAAGGTTGTAATTACATTTTTAGGGCCTTTATGCCTGCAAAATCCGTGAACGGCAAGCCACCCAGCAGGCTGGATTCTGGAATGATGTCGCAGTGGGATGGTAGTGATGGGCCCAAGAAAGGAGCCATGTAAGGAAGAATTGTCAACAAACATTTAGCTTTTTAGCCCCGTAACGGCTGCCGCGATGGGCTGCTGTTCGAGTTTTGACGATTTGAGCAGTCTGGGCCGCGATGACGAGGATTATGAGATGCTTGAAGAAGATGAGGAAACTACAGATCCATTCAACGTCACGCTATCGAACCTCGTAAGCTTGCAGAAATTTTTCCATAGTTTCAGTAGTTTTTCAAGGGTTTTTCCCCCGTAGGCGTTCTTTCGAATTCACTTCAAGACGGCTTTTTTCAGGACAACGATGACAGCGCAGACGCCTCATTTCCTCAAACTTCGAACGAGACGTCACCCAACAAGCGCCAGTCACCGAATAAATGCCCGTCACCAAAGCATTCGCCTTCCCCGAACCCGCTGGATTATTGGCGAACTTCCATGGAATTGAGGTAACAACTTTTTTTCCTAGAGCAACCGATGTTTTAGCGATACTGATCTGCGGAAATTTGGCATCCTCACTCCGTTCGGTTTTCCGGGGCCCTCTTCGTCGTCACCTCGAGGAGTCACAAAAGTCGAAGAAAGTTTTCAGGATCCGCCACTCGGTAAGCATTAACTCTTGTGTTGGAATTGAGTTTAGGCAACAACACCATGGAACTGTTCGACAGCAATGGTGAACAGCAAGAGCCTTCCGTCAGCAATGAAAACGGTACACTAACGTCTTCGGGCCCTTTAACTCTATTTAGGGAATCTGACCTTGGAGCTCTTCCCCAAGGCGGTCATCATGGAGGCGGATTCGACCACCCCTGGCGAGGTAAAGCCATTCCTTGAGCCCTGTATTTCTTTAGGAGTTGAATAACACCTCCGATCTCTTCGCGAGCAGCGAGCCGACATTAAACTGCACTGCCGATCTCTTCGCGAACAGCGAAGCTCCATTAAACTGCACTGCCGATCTCTTTGGTGGAAATTCAACGAAGAGTTCTGAAGAGCTCAATAACACTTACCAACTCTTCGATCAATCCGCCATGGAGTGCACGCCCGAGCTTCTGCCTGATTCGACAATGGTAGGGTTATGGTAGATACATCGGACCATCGGATTTCAGGAGCATTCTGTGTCGTCTTCGCTGTCGTTGGACGATGATGGGAACTCGACTCTGACGTTGGATGATGACAGCGATCTCAACACCTCTGGCCCCTCGGGCTTCCTGGCTAACGAGGTATTTATGGCGCGTCGTCAACAACTTTGATATAGCCGCTTCTAACCGATGCGCTGGGCCCGACCACGTCTTCGGAACTGCATTTGGCGGTTAGTAACCTGGATTAGGCATGAAACCATTTTTTTAGAATGTGGTGCCCCTCGAATTGGTGCAGTTTTTCGTTCGCGACGCTGGTGGCCTGGAGACGAACGTTTCTGATTACAACAGGTTAACTTGCGGCTTTATGTTACCCACACTGGCTGTTTCTAGGCACCGTGCAAAAAATTTCCCGGCCGTCGCTTTCACATTGGGCCAAAAGCACTGGTCGATGCTCAGGGACACCTATTTGAGGCTGGCTAACGATACGCAGGTGATTAGCGAGATAATGATTCCAAGGTTTTTGTTTCTAGACAAACGTTCGTGCCACACTAGCCGCCTCGATCCACATCATCGCGAAAATCGTTGGCCCGGCGACAACATTGAAAGATCTGGTGCCAATCTTCAACCGCTTCAAGGAGGACGACGAAGCCGTTCGCCAAGGCCTGCTGTCCAATCTGTCCGAATTCTTTGAGGTTGTTCCGGATTTCTAGGCGGGTACAAAGCTTTCGTTTAGCAAGTGCCCCCGGAAGCCCGTGGTGAACTGCTGTACGAACTGCCCCAGATGCTCCGCATCGATTCCACGGTCAATTGGCGATTCAGGAGTGAATTTGCAAGGTGTGTTTTCTTTTGATTTCGGCCGAGTTGTACGTTTAGCCAATGCGACCGGCTGTGCCTCCTCTTCGGGTTGCAGGACATCAACACCGGGCTGTCAGGGCTGGCTCTTACCCTGTGTTCAGGTAACCTATTTTGACGTGAACTCTGGAGCTGGATCTGCTTTTAGACCGCATCGCCGAGGTCAGGCAGGAGGCGTCCCGGCTCACCGCACACATTTTGGGCCTGATGATCGAGAGCGAATGGGTCCAAGGCGTCGAAGAGGTTCGCAAAGAGTTCCTTGAATTCAATATTTCTAGATGGAACAGTCTGGAATGCGCTGCACGGAAGCGTTCGTTGCCGACATCGTTCGCGGTTTTGCCCGTTCCGGCACCTCAAGGAGGCGCATCACGTAATTTCTTTGAAAGCGACCTTGTATCATTTATTCCAGTTTTGCTCGTATCTGCGAGTTTGCCCTCCAGCATAAGTACATCAGCAAGGAACACTACTGCGCCTATCTCCTCGACCATTTGACGTTCATGGCCAAAGATCGTACGTCCTCCGATTATACTCATGACTGATGTCTTTATTTTTAGAAGTGCCAAATGTGCGGCTGGCCGTTTGCCGCGTGCTGCTGATTGCCGGGGAGATGACCGCAACGTGCGCGAAGACACAGGTCGACGAGGCGCTTGCCGTTCTGGTGGAAGACGAAGACGCAGACGTGGCTCGAGCGGCTCGTCACGTCCGTGATGGCGATCGAGTCTACGAAGAAGAAGTCGCCCAGCCAATCGATGTCACCGCTCGCGGCGCCAAGATCCAAGCAAACGAAGAAGCCGTACGTGATTTTTATAATATTTTTGTTTACTAGAATCTAAAAGTTTATCAGATTTCGTTTGCATGCTAATCTGAAAATTTGAGATTCTGACAATTATAGGCTTTGCTTCTAGAGATTTGGATAGGATACCATTTTACACTCCCGTTTTCAGTATTTCGCTTCGCTGTCCGCCCACGTGACGGGACGTCGCAACGAGGACGTCGTCATGAAAGATGCCAACCCGTCGTCCGCGGCATAAGCGAAGAGCGCGCCAAGAATTAGAATCCATCAAGCAATGGTTGCCCGTTGATCCTCATCACCACCCCCCCGGTTATGCCCTTGTCATCTCCCTCCTCATACGTCTCTATAATAAGTTCACTTACGCTTTCACTTATGGCCAATGATCCACAGGTACACTGAGTAGTGCTAATCCAGCCCCCCATTCATACTCGGTCCACCTAGAACTGTGATTTCCGGTTTTCCGTTGGCTCTGCATTTTTATGCATTCTTTATTAAGTCTAGCCCCGCTTTGATAATGTGATGTTTAAATAAACGTTTTAAACTATTTTCTTCGTTTCCTGGGGATGCGTGTGGTATAATTGTGATGCACTTTCTGTGAATATACCCGAGCATTGCTGGTTGTTTATCACCCGTCATCGGGGGATCTCTTTTCGGTCGTCAAGGTCCGATCGCCCCTCAGGATTGTTGGGCAGCCCGGATCCGACCTTGCGGGCCAGCGTTTCTGGATGGGAGCGCGGGATCGGGTGGCGGTAATTGCCCGGTTGACGGATGCGCATTGATCTCCCGGAATGTGGGCGGTGGACGGTAGTGAATTAGCGCTCACTCACAGTGCTGCCGACCTTCTCCCTTTGAGCGGGTACTCGGGTGTATTTATCTCTGCAAGATTCCCGGACCTATTCCTGTAGTTGCGAACAGCAATACCGGGCTAGCTTCATGTTTGGCGTTCTTTCTAGCGGTCGAGGAAGGCGGTCTCTGTTCGCTTTTTCTGCAAAACTCGCCGTACTGATAAGGGCGCCAGGACACACACACAAACACAGACACCACTGTTCTTTTCGCACTAAACTTTGGCGCAATGGATTGGTATTTTGAGGACTAATTCAGATAATTACCGTCGCTAGAAACTTCGGTTTTCTTATTGACTCCCCGTTGACGAGTGCCCGGTTAATGTTTATGCATTCCAAGTACACTTCCTTCCCTTTCGCTTGCTCGCGCCGCCTTTGCCCAGAGCAAAGCCCATACTGCTCTCGGGTCGAGCCATCTACTGGACTCTGGCCAAGTAAACATAACGAGCAGGAGCAGTCAGGGGTCAGGGTCACACCCCAGTCGCGGGGGACTACACACCCAAACCATTCATTCATTCATTCATACCCACCGCTACTCAATGACGTGTCACCAAGCACGCATTGCTTGCAACAATTTTTGGAGGTTTTATTAGAGTCACTTTTTTTATAACACCACTGTTTTCGCCTTCGCTTTTTTCTAACAATGAGCCGTTTTCAGTTTTAAAAAGAGCTTGTAATTTCGAACCATACGCATCTGGTACTAGACTCTTAGCGGGGGGACACCAATTGTTCCTAGTAACCCGATATGGCCTTATAACGAAATATAAACCTTTTTATAGCATTTTACACAGTTTCTAGATATAAAAATCAACTAAATTATCAAAATTTTCGAAAATTTTTGACTTTTTGGTCAAGAAGGTATGAAAAATCAGAAAATAGGTAAGTTTTCGAATTTACAAATTTTTAAATTTTTTAAATTTTTTTTAACTGAAAAACCACTAAAAACACTATAAAACCACATTATACATTATCAACGGCGAGGTATAGGCGGGGAAAAAATAAAAAAAGATTTTGTAAGTGCATAAAACGCTTTCTTATTGGTTAAGCCGCCCTAGCTTAAACTTAAGCATAAGCGCAAACATAACTTTTCATCCTAGCGCTACTTTACGAAATCTACAAAACTCTTACCGTCCTTTCACCGGCCATCTTATGAAATTGCGGCCCCTGAATCGCCGCCGAAACAGAATTTTTTTTCGGCTTGGCACACATTCATCGCAGCCCCCCAATGACTGGATGCACATCCTTTTTTGTTGAAAGCCACATCGCTTCCATTTTGTGGTCTTGTTCCCGGGGAGCATTGCCATGCTTCTTCACCTGCTGACAAATCGGGGCCCCACGACTCCCGGAAAGCACAGACACAACCTCCACATTTCCCCACGCCAATACAAAAGCGGGTTTCGCTAATGAGGGTCTTGATGTCATGCGTCTGGCCGACCGCCAATTTTCTATTGCGCACGAATGCTAAATTTTACAAATTTTTGTAGTTATTTTTGTTGATGGAAAAATGGGGCTTTGGGGGGGGGGGGTAGTAAGGGAAAATGATTTTTTTTTGATAAAGAGGGATGTTTCTAAACGGTTTTTGTCTAGTCTTATACTTAAAAACTCTGTTTTGTATTTATACTATTCCGAAAAAAGCCAGTTTTGCACCAAAAATAATCAATTTTCGACCAAAACACAACTTTAAAAATTGTAAATTTTTGTTTAGCATAGAAAAAGCCAGTTTTCGGATAAAATTGGTCAATATTCTGCCAAAAGTCAACGTTAAAATTGTCACGAATTTTTGAGAAAATCACGGCGCTTGAAATGTAGGTAAACCAGATGGTTACAGTCGCTTCGCGACTCTAACCATCTGGCCTTCGGGCACCCTACATATCCCACTCCACCACATCCTTACCCACCTCCATCAATACCCCCCATAGTCGAAATCCCCGTCAAAAACTACCAAAATGCCTTCCCGATGGCTTCAGATACCCCCCATGGCTGAAATCCCCTTCAAAAACTACCTAAATACCTTCCTGATGGCTTCAGATACCCCCCATGGCTGAAATCCCCTTCAAAAACTACCTAAATACCTTCCTGATGGCTTCAGATACCCCCCATGGCTGAAATCCCCTTCAAAAACTACCTAAATACCTTCCTGATGGCTTCAGATACCCCCCATGGCTAAAATCCCCTTCAAAAACTACCTATATACTTTAACTAATTTAAATAATTAATTAACATAATTAAAAAGTATTAAAAGTATTAAAGTGACTTAAGAAAGCGATCTGGGCGCGCGAAGGGGCCTGGCGAAGAGGGGCGAGGGGAAAGGGGGCGTGGCCTCCCGGGAGAGGGGCCCCCACCCCGTTTACTAAGGAAAAAACTTTCAAAGTTAATTTTAATAATTTAAACTAAAAATTTTTCGTAATTTTTTTATCAGTTTCGGGGTTTCTGATCACGCTCTATCCGAATACGAAGAGAGCTAAGCTCTAGCTCCTTTCCCCTTCGAGTTGAATTCGGCTTCACACAGACAGATGCGTCAAGAAAATTATTATAGTTGATTTTACTAAAAACTGTATAAAAAAATTGAATTATTACTTTAACAGACATTTCTTCTTTGAGAACCCCCCGATAATGCCAAAGAACCTCCCACCCTTTTTCGCGCTCAATTCCATTCCCTAATAATCTCGGCTAGCTGGCCCACCCGGAGAAAAATACTTAATTCAGGCTTATATCGCCATGCCAGCCCAAAAGCTGCACCGCAGCGACTGGAAGGAGGGAACCGTTTATCTGGTAAGTTTGGCCGGATTCAACCGGATAGCCCGGCTGTTTTCAGTTCCAATTCCCGCGCGCCAAGCATATTCCGTCGCCCTCGCCCTTTTCGCTGAAGCTCGAGACGTGGCTGCGCATTAATGATATCCCATATGAGGTGGGGGAAAAATAGAGGTAAAAATAGTGGTAAAATAACTCTAGAACGTCTCCACCGAATTCAAGAAGACCTCCTCAAAGGGCCAGGTGCCGTTCATCGAATTCAATGGGCGCCAGATTGGGGACAGCAACCAGATTATTCCGTTTTTGACGAAGGAGTTGAACAAGGTGAAAACGAATTTGTGGTTTGAATATAATTAATGTGAATAATGATTTTGAGAACCATTTTAAAGTTTCAAAACAGCTTGTATTTTTGCCTTTCGTTCCTACACTGAGAATTAAACGTTGTGAGAACCTTTAAAGCGCTTTTTTCGTTTTTTTTTACTGTTTATTACGTTTCTAACATGTTTATTCTTTCTTTATTAGGAAAAACATGTTTATTCTATCTTCTTAGGAAACTGTGGACACTCGTCTATCAAAAGAAGATCAAGCCTACCGCCAGGCCTTCCATCATCTGCTCGAAAACTCGATTTTCTGGTAAAACTAGTTTTTTGTATAAAAGACCCGCCTAGGGCCATCGTCGCCAACCGCAAGGAGACGGCCGACTTTTTCTTTACCGAGGACGGCATGCTTGGCCATTTTAGCGTAAGTTTTTCAGATAAATTTTGAAAAGATATTTTCAGGGCATCAAAAAGACGCTGACGCAACACATCGGACCCGTTGCCTTCAAGCGCAAGGTAGGAAAAAACCCCCGGTTTCTGATTTCGGCTTCCGGTTTAGCTGAAGAACATGTCGCACGTGCAGGGCTACGGGCGCAACACTGTCTACGAGCTCGAGGAGCAAATGATCAAGTGGGTTTTGGAAAGTAGGGTATTTTTTGGATTTTTAGGGATCTCGACGCGCTCTCGACGTTCCTGGGCTCGAAGCACTACTTCTTTGGAAACGAGCCGAGCTCGGTAAGCTTAGAGGCCTCCATTAACCTTTTTTTTCAATTGCAGCTTGACGTGACGGCGTTCGGGCAGCTTTGCCAGGTGCTCTACACGCCACTCGTGACGAAGGGCGTCGTCCCGCACATGCACGAGCATAATAAGGTTAGTTTGGGTTTGAAAAATAGCCTAGAATTTATATTAAATGTATTAAATTAAGTACCAAGCTCTTTTTAAGCAATAAAAACGATAAATTCGCCTAATTTCCTCAATTTTAGAATCTCGTCGATTTCGTCGAACGAATCAAGGCACACTATTGGCCCGACTGGGAGCGCGCCACTTCGGTAGGTCGAAAAAGCAAAAGGGAAAAGCTAAATAAGTCATAAATCTATTTCTTAAATAGATTTAGAACCGATTTCTTTCTGCTACTTTCTTAAAAGGAAAAATAGAGTTAAAAAATGTTTCTATTTCAGGCGCTGAACTTCTCCTCGGACTGGAAGCACGTCGAGCCGATCGCCGAAAAAGTTGCCCCCTAAAAACCCTCAAATTTTTACCTCAACGAGGAAATCCGGAAAGCAAAATTTTTTTTTTGAGTCTTTATGAACCTCAAAAAAATATCCCCTACCAAAGACGATTAATTTAATTAAAATACTGCCACAGAGCTTTTCTCCCCTCACCTCAAGCGCCTTCCCTGCCCCCCAAGATTTTCGATTCTACCCAAATAACGTATAATAATAAATAATTTACTGAAAAAATTATATTTATTTGGCGGGGGGGGGGGGCACAAAATAGCGTACACAGCAGTTACCGGCTTTTGGCAAGGCGGGTTAGCGTCAATTTCGGGCGTATCTGGAAGGAAATATGACTTTTAGAGCTTTTTGGCAAAAATCAAAAAGTATGACAGCCGCCGGGATCGAACCCGGGTGATGTAGGTGAAAAACGCGAGCTTTACCAATTGACTAGGCCGGAACAAGGATCAGCATTTAGGAAAAAAGATAAAGCCCACTTTGCCGCCCAGTCGATGCGCCCTCCCTTGCCGGCCGACCCGTTGGCGCCCTCCTTGGCGGCCGTCTGGCTGACTACGGCAGTGTTGTTGTTGTTTAGGGTGCGGGCCCCGAAATTGGGGCGGTAACCTGGAAAATTTGCATATGATGGAGGAGTTCTCTAGGGGTTTTTTCAACGCTGGAATGTTGGGATTAGAATATTAAGACCTTTTAAGATATGAGTAATTAAAAGTATCTGATTTAATGATATAAAATCATTCAACTCGTATAAGTCAAAATTAAACAAAAAAAAACGTTAAATTTCCAGCGTTGAAATCCCAGCAAATACCGTATCCCAGGGAAGTGTTTTAACAAAAAAGGGGCGCGGTTGAGGGGATCGGGAAGCCAAAAGATATGGATTTTGCCTTCCCGGTTTTTTAAAGGGGCTGGCAAGGCATGGCTATGGATTTCACAGGCTGTAGCTTTGTTAAGAATTTTTCTGCAAGCGCCTGGACGGCTTGAAGATGTTGAAATCGATTACGCAATGAAATAGGCGCATCTATAGCCAAAAATCCATAGCCATCCCATGCTAACCCTTTGAAATAGGGTAAAATTTCGCCCAGGCGGTGCCACCCAATCCGATACCGCGATTCGCTTTCGGCGAAACTTTGCGCCCCTTCGATTTGTGGGCGGCTGGCGCGACGTCCTTGCGTTTCGTGGCGGAACCTGCTGGCGGGGGGTAATTTCTACCGTAATCCACCGTGGTCAAGATGTCTGCTAAAAGGCGCCCCACCCTGATACACCTACCGTATGCATATTCGAAGCGTGCCTGCACGGCCTGTTTCGGGTCGAGCCCCGGCTTTGGCTTCACGTCGAACTTGCCCGTGTTGTTGCCGATCGAACCGTCGGAGATGGCGCCTGGAATTGGGGTCTGAAAACTCGGGAAAAAGCATGCTTGGGCTTAGGCCTAGGCTTGAGCTTGGGCTTGGGCTTGGGCTTAGGTTGGGTTAGGAGACTTGAGAGGCTTTGGCATGGGGATTTGCAGGCTGAGACTTAGGCTCAGGCTTAGGCTTGGGTTGAGCTTAAGCTTAGCAGCTCAGGATCCTTAGGAGGCTTAGGAGGCTTAGGCTTAGGTTTGGCTTAGCCCACGCGCAACGCGATACGCAACGCAGGCCCTATGTCATCATGGGTCGTAATGCATTACGCAGTGCAAAGCCAAGCATGCGCGTTGCGTCAAGCGGCGTATCAAATCCCTAAAGCAAAATGACAGCTCCGAGTCTTCCTCGTCCCTTTAATACCCTTCTACGTAATTAGTTTCGCTTTGTAGCCATCGCAGAGCCGAGCTTCAATTTTCCCCAAAAACCTCCGCCAGCCTGCCCCCCTCGTCGCGCAGCGCAACCACACAAAAATCATAACCGCAACGAAATGTGCCTCTGTACGGGGTCCAGCTATGTACAAATATATAGACAAAACTTAGGGAGGGATTTGTGCCAATTGCCACAAGGGGGAAGTGTCTGCTGGTGTGTGTGCATTTCTTTCGGGAAATCCCGTCGTGCATTTTCATCAAAATCGCCGAAAAATGGAAAAACCGTTTACTGGCCGGACTGTCCCGAAGAGACGTGCACACACACATCATACCGTAATCCAAAAATCGAGGCTTAAAAAGTGGATATATCGATAAATTATAGTTCTAAAGGGACTGGGAAGGAAATTTTTTGAAATCTAGGCCTTCCAAGTCCCTTTAATTGACGAAAGACTAAGGGGAATCATCAGACTATCCATCCCTATGATGATATGCAAGTACATCTGGCAACTGGAAACGATACAGTACAAACTACAGCAGCACAAGGAACTGAAAAAACGACGGGACTTTGGCTATGAAAATAAGTAGGTGTTTTAAAGGGATCGCTCTTAATGAGTTTGCTAATTTAAAAATCTCTCGCACTTTCTTTGTCTCTATCTCTATCTTTCTTTTTCTAACGCTCTCTCGCTCTAGTCCTCTCGCTATCTCCATCTCTCTCTCGCGCTCTCTCTCACTCTCTCTCCCTCTCTCACACTCTCTCTCCCGCTTTTATTCTCTCTCGCTCGCTTTCTCTCTCTTTCTTTCTCTCTCTCTCTCTCTCTCTCTCTCTCCCAGGCAGTCTGCTCTAACAGGCCTGCCCAAGTGAGAGAGATGGAGCGAGAGAGAGGGAGCGAGAGGCGAGATAGAGCGAGCCAAAATGGGCATGAGCACATACATTAATCTCCGCGATGAACTTTCCCAGTCTACAAACATGACCGATCCCTTTAAAGCTGCCCCTCAAAAATCCCCAGCCTTAACCCCAATGGAAGTTGGCGCGCGGCTGAGACGCTCAGCCTCATCCAGCGCCTGTTCAATCTCATCCACCGACGGTCCCGGGAGCAAGAGCCGCATCTGCGAGGGCGCCGTCCCCGGCACGTCCCCCACGGCATTCGTGTACCTCACCGCGGGCGGCGCGGACGCGTCGCGTGCGGTGCTGGCGGCCTTCTTGCGCACAGGCTGCCAGCTAACGGGGACGAATCGGCTTTTGGCCAGGTAGAAATCCTTGGCGGGCGGCTTCTTGCCGCTACCGTTCGTTTTTGTTGATTTGTCGGAGCGCATCGTGTCGTCGAGTCTGGAAGATTTGAGCTGAGGATGCCGAAATTGACAGCGTCGAAAGAGGAAAATATCGACATTTCAGAATGTCTGCATTTTTCAAATAATCCGGTTTCTAAAACCAACTTTTCGAAAAGCTGCGTTTTATTCAGGGGTAGATTCCGGTTGATATGGCGGCCCTCGAGAGGTGGTCTCCCTTGAGGCGAGATGTTCTCCAGATTTGACGTCTAAATTGCAGTTTAAATGACCTTACAGGGTGGGCCAGAAAAAAAAGCCCCTAGTTTGCACTGAAATATCTCACGAACGGAAACGAATCGGACCATGGTTACCTTTCCAGAATGCTTCAATATGCTGGGTATGAAGAATAAACACAAGTTGTTTTTTAGGATTTTTGACGACCCCCTACTCGTTAAGAATTTTTGAACATTTTGGAAAAAGTAGAAAACTTTGAAGAGGAAATTAATGGAACTTTTAATGCGCTAGGGGCGCATGTAGGGTATCAAAATGAAACTCTTGGAATGCGCTATCAAATCAGTGGTAAAGAATATAGAACGGTTTAACTAGCCGTCAATAGGAGCATTCAGAACATCCGGACTTTTCCAGAAGGGGCGATTCCGAGTTAACCATAGAAAGCACATGGCCGCCGTCACTTTTTGTATTTGTTAGTTGCAACCCGGTTTGCCAAAGATAACCATGTTATAAATTTAACTATGAGAGCCTAGAACTTACAAATTCCGCCGACTTGGCAAAGTGCCAAAAATTTTTTTGATCGGGATTTTGAAAATCTTAATGCCAAAAGTTAGTAGTTAACGATCTATTGGTAAATGCAAAATATCAGAAAGATCGAATGGTAAAGAAATTATATCTGGAATTATTTCTGCAAAAAGTGCCGATTTTCCGAACGTTCCTATTGACGGCTAGTTAAACCGATCGATAATCTTTACCACTGATTTGATAGCGCATTCCAAGAGCTTCATTTTGATACCCTACATGCGCCCCTAGCGAATTAAAAGTTCCATTAATTTCCTCTTCAAAGTTTTCTACTTTTTCAAAAATGTTCAAAAATTCTTAACGAGTAGGGGGTCGTCAAAAATCCTAAAAAACAACTTGTGTTTATTCTTCATACCCAGCATATTGAAGCATTCTGGAAAGGTAACCATGGTCCGATTCGTTTCCGTTCGTGAGATATTTCAGTGCAAACTAGGGGCTTTTTTTTGGCCCACCCTGTATATTAGATGACAAAAATATCGATTTTTCGACTATTTTTCTAAATTTTTACTGTGGTTTTGCCACTTGAAATTTTTTGGTAAAAACAGTATTAAACATTTACTGTTACTTTAATAAAATTTCTTATCCCCCGATAATGCAAAAGCACCATAAAAATTAAAAGACCCAATTCCCACCTTATTCATCGTGACCTTCGAGTCGCTCTGCGTAGAGCCGGCGCTGTTTTTGCGCGCGGCGCCCGGCGCGGGTTGGCTCATCACCGGCGCGCCGAGCTTCTCGTTGACTTGGAAGTAGCGGCTGCGCAGACACTAAACACGTATTGTCTAAGCCTGAGCTTAAGCCTCAGCCTAAGCTTCAGCTCCAAAATACATTCATTTTTTTTTACCTGTGTCGCCGAGGGTCTCTTCTCTGGATTCCAGATCATCATATCCATCATCAACTTCATCCCGTCCTAAAAAACATGATGTTCGTCTCTCAAAAGAACAATCTAGCAGAGATTCTTTGAGCGAGCACACCTTGCCAATCGTGTTCACGATCTGCTCCATCGGCGTGGCGGGCGTGTTCTGGAAGCGGAAATTCATCGCCGCCGCCAGCTGGTAGCCCTCGGCCCATTCGTCCTAAAAATCGAATTTTAACGGCAACTAAAATGAAACAATCCTTTTTTAATTTAAGTCCAAAAACGCAATATAGTAGTATTTTACAAGTTTGAACTCTAAAACCGCTAAAAACTCTGCTAAAAATCGAAAATACCTTATTTTTAACATCAGTTTTTTTCAAAAAACATGGAAAATTCGTGGTAGTTTAATTTCAAATTTTCAAATAAAATAAAATACCTTTGTTGGCGATCCCAAAATCGTGATAATCTTAAACAGCTGATCGAGCTCGCTGGTGCCCGGGAAAAGTGGGCGCAGCATGTACAGCTCGGCCATGATGCAGCCTGAAAAATCGGTTTGCATTTTTAAACATATAATAGATTTTATTTAATAGCTTGAAAACTTTTTATAGCTTTTATCTTAGCGTAAAAGATTATTTTCTCAGAAAATCCAATTTTCCTTCCAAAAACACGCACCCAGTGCCCAGATATCAATCGGCGAATTATAGGCCGTGGACCGGAGCAGGATTTCCGGGGCTCGATACCTAAAAAAGCGTCCGGATTACAGTAAGGCCGGGGTTATCTACCATCTGGTGGATACATAATCTGTATACGGCGGCTTTGATCGAACCTCTCGAGCCAGCCCAAAATCGGCGATCTGAAATATTTCACAAAGTATCTGAGTATTTGGACAAGACGATACCTTGACCAGCTCGGTCCCGTTGCACATTATATTCTCCGGTTTCATGTCACGATGAAAAAACCCTAAAGAAGAATGTCATTTGGAGGCAATCGTAATATTACCGTTTTTGTGCATATACTGCAGCCCCTGCAGGACTTGGTAGATGATGTTGCGGATGACGCTTTCGGGGAAATATCGATCTCTAAAGAGGCTGAGCGTAAAATCGATAACCTCGCTCTCTCTCTCTCTCTTACTCTCTCTCTCTCTCTCTCGCTCTCTCTCCCTCAAGTAAAATAGTACGAACCTGTCTTTCATCAATTCGTACAAGTTTTCCTGCATGAACTCGAATACAAAGTACAGGATGTCGCTCTCTCGGATAACCTAAAGAGTTTTTTAATGACGCTTGAGCGGAAGTCTAAGCCTGCCAAGTCGCAGCTTAAGCCCAGCATCAGAATAGGGCGAAGCCTAAGAGTAACCGAAGCCTAAGCCTAAACCCAAGCCTAATTCTAAGCCCAATCTCAAGACTTGCCTAAGCCCAACCTAAGCCTAAGCCTAAGCTTCCCTAATTTTCAACACACCTCGCGCAGCTTAATAATATTTGGGTGGTTCAGCTTCTTGAGCGACTTCACCTCCCGCAACGCCATCGCCTCTTCCCAGGAATAGAACTTTTTCTTCATCCTAGAAATAGAGAATAAACAACATCAATAAAGAGTTAAAGCAAAATCCTAAATAGTTTTTATTCCTAACCTTTTTATGGCCACTTTGTCGCCGGTGTCAATCTTTTTCGCCAACAGCACTTCTCCGAATGTGCCATCGCCAAGCTTCTTCGTCATCACATAACGATCGGCCAGGGTTTGCGCGGCCATTTTTTAGTTTTTCAATTAGTTTTCAGCTTCTCCTGGCTTTGTAATTGTCTATTCTATCATTGTAGGGGATCCTGAAGGGGCATGATATATTTAAAATTACAATTTACATTGAAAATGGAAAGACCTTAAAAAAGAATAACGTCAAAATTGGGAGCTTTCGCATTATCGGGGGGAAGGGTTGAGTAAAATTTACCTTAGGATCTATGGTTTCTCACCTTAAAAGAGGAAACACCCTGTTTATACGCTCTTTTTCCATAAACCTAAACGTCGAAAAAACAAAATTTTGTTAAAAGCACAAATTTCTCGATTTTCGACCAAAATTCCAATTTTTGAAACATTTACCAAATTTTTTAAATAGTTTTTCCGCTTGAAATCTCGTTAAATTTTACTCAAAATTCGATTAAAGTGCTTGCGTTTATGTTATTAGGCATGATAATAACCGTTGTTTTTTCTTACACAACCAGCCGATTACAGCCGCTTCGCGACTGTAATCGGCTGGCCTTCGGGCTACCCTCCATGTTCTACGCCACCACATTACATCTCTAACAAAATTAGCTACTCCTTGAAAAACTACTTAAATACCTCCCTGATGGCTTTAGATACCTCCCCTAGCCGAAATCCCCTTCAAAAACGACCTAAATACCTTCCCGATGGTTTCAGATACCCCCTCCCCCCCCCCGGATAGCCGAAATCCCCTTCAAAAACTACCTAAATACCTCCCTGATGGCTTCAGATACCCCCCATGGCTGAAATCCCCTTCAAAAACTGCTTAGATACCTCCCTGATGGCTTCAGATACCCCCCATGGCTGAAATCCCCTTCAAAAACTACCTAAATACCTCCCTGATGGCTTTAGATACCTCCCCTAGCCGAAATCCCCTTCAAAAACTACCTAAATACCTTTCTGATGGCTTCAGATACCCCCCATGGCTGAAATCCCTTCAAAAACTACTTAGATACCTCCTGATGGCTTTCCATACCTCCCCTAGCCGAAATCCCCTTCAAAAACTACCTAAATACCTTTCTGATGGCTTCAGATATCCCCCATGGCTGAAATCCCCTTCAAAAACTACTTAGATACCTCCCTGATGGCTTTCCATACCTCCCCTAGCCGAAATCCCCTTCAAAAACTACCAAAATACCTTTCTGATGGCTTCAGATATCCCCCATGGCTGAAATCCCCTTCAAAAACTACTTAGATACCTCCCTGATGGCTTTCCATACCTCCCCTAGCCGAAATCCCCTTCAAAAACTACCAAAATACCTTTCTGATGGCTTCAGATATCCCCCATGGCTGAAATCCCTTCAAAAACTACTTAGATACCTCCCTGATGGCTTTCCATACCTCCCCTAGCCGAAATCCCCTTCAAAAACTACCAAAATACCTTTCTGATGGCTTCAGATATCCCCCATGGCTGAAATCCCCTTCAAAAACTACTTAGATACCTCCCTGATGGCTTTCCATACCTCCCCTAGCCGAAATCCCCTTAAAAAACAAAAATAACGACCGACCGGATGGAATGAGAGAGAAAAAGAAATGAAATCCTCCGTGAAAATTTTCATCCACGAAACGCGCGCGACCTGGCTCACTATGCGAAAATCATGCCAATCTCCGTCCCCCACCCCTTTTACTAAGGAAAAAACTTTCAAAGTTAATTTTAATAATTTAAACAAAAACTTTTTTGTAATTTTTTGATCAGTTTGGGGGTTTCTGACCACGCTCTATCCGAATCCGAAGAGACCTAAGCTCTAGCTCCTTTCCCCTTCGTGTTGAATCCGGGACCGGACACACACACACACACACACACAGACACCGCTACTTTTTTATTATAGTTGATTTACCAAGGCGCAATTTCGGCCCCGCCGGGAGCCAAAAATACCACAGATCAAGCGTAAAAAGTACATAATTTAGCCCAATAACCCTCAAAATCCGGCCCCTAAGCTCTGAGCCTTAAATCCGGGCTTGCGTTCATAAATCCGATGGAATGGCGGGGCGGGGTGTGGAGGCCATTTGGTCCTCCCCTGGGCCCCACGATTCGCGTCCGGCGTTCCGGGAGCGTGGCCATGGATACGGTGTGGCCGTCGAATTGAGAGGGAGAGAGAGAGCGAGAGAGAGATAGAGAGGGAGAGAGAGAGAGAGAGAGGAGAGAGAGAATTCTCTAGCCAGAAAAGGGTCCCACCACGCACCACCACCAATCCCCCTCTCTACCTCACAATTCATGGGATCGAGGCGTCACACACGCCCTTCACCTCTGAACAATATAAAGCCCATTCTCTAAGGTGTTGAGGGCCGAGCGCCGGAAATCAGCTGGAAAACGCGTATCTGAAATGCTGCGCGTCAAATCGGGGGAACGAAAATTGCGCTATCTATCGATGTAGATGGATTTAAGATCTTTAGGATCTAGGAGAGTTTCGTCAGGAAAGGTAGGCTAGCAGAGATTCTTTGGGAAAACAGGCTAGCAGAGATTCTTTAGGAAAAGGCATGCTAGCAGTTTTTTTAGGAAAAGGCATGCTAGAAGAGATGCATTGGGAAAGACAGGCTAGCAGAGATTCTTTGAGGTTGGAAGGGCAGGCTAGCAGAGATTTAGGAAAGGGCAGGTTAGCAAGGATTCTTTAGGAAGGGGCAGTCAAGTACAGATTATTTATGAGAGAGCAGGCTAACAGGGGTTCTTTAGAAAAAGGCAGGCTAGCAAATATTCTTTAGGAAACGAACAGTCTACAGTTATTAATGCTATTGAAAAGTATATATCTAATCATAAAGCAAATACTGGCACGCTGGCGAAAGTTAGCACCGCCCCCCCGTTACTAAACCAGAGCCCCGAAATATAGAAAAAAATGTTTAAAGCCTCAAAAACCCTCAAGGTTTCAAAATCAGCTCGACAATCTGAAAACGAGGAGCCCAAAATATTTACGGAAGGAAACACCAAGTGCACATGCCAAAATGTTGCCCGGAGACGTCGTTTTAGACATTCAAAATCGGGCACGGAAACAGACTCCAGCACAAAATACACAAAAATCTGGGAAGGCAGTAAAATCTGTGAAAGTACCCAAATAACTCACTATAGCCACTTTCACACAAAATTATTGCTCAAGCGCTCCTTCCGACGGGAAAAGCCCGGAATTATTTTTGATTGGCTTTGGCGGGCCGGATACTCGGTGTTGTGCCCTGTGGCATTTTGTGATTTGGGACGAATAAAGGGGGATAGGGGACAGAAATAACAAGATATCAAAGCAGAGATAAAAAATAGGCTGATCTAAAACGAAAAAGAAAAATAACAATGTCTATTATAAGCCTAAGCCTAAGCCTAAATCTGAGCCTAAGCCTAATCGAAGCCTCACCTAAGCCCATGCCTAACCTAAGCCTAAGCCTAACCTAAGCCTAAGTCTAAGTCTAATTAAGTCTACGCCCAAACCAAAGCCCAAGCCTAAGCCAAGCCTAAGCCTGAACCTAAGCCTCGGCTCAAACCTAAGCCCAAGCCTAAGCCAAGCGAGGCATAAGCCTAAGCCTCAACCTAAGCCTAAGGATAAGCCTAGGCCATAGTCTAAACCGACCTCCAAGCTCAGCTTAGGCCTAAGCCTAAACCCAAGCCTAAGCCTAAGCTAACCCTAAGCCCAAGCCTAATCTAAGCCCAAGCCAATGCCTAAGCGTAAGTCCAAGCCTAAGCCCAAGCCTAAGTCAGCCCTAACCCTAAACATACGCCTATCCTAAGCTTGAGCCTAAGCCTAAACCTGACCAAAGCCTAAGCCAAAGCCTGTTTCTTGAACGCCTCATTAAATCAAAACAAGAATTAGCCTAAAACCGAAAAGCAAAACCCAGCTCCCCGGCCGGGATGCGAACCCTCGACCCTCAACCCGACAAAACAACGCACTAACCATTGGCTGCCTTGGTCTATTTGCGGTGCCCTCAAGTCGGCCTGTCGGAGGTGGGTCGGGACACAAATCCAGCAAATATCCTCTTCTGCTGCTGGCTTCTCCTCCTCATCCACACTACGGGATCGACACGCTATTCCACTACCGGCCGGCGGCCCCTCATTGCCCTATGATATTGGGCCTACCGCACGGCATTTCCCGAGTATTATTGTTGTTTTTGTTATTTATTGCAACAGCCCGGGCCAGCGATGCTGAAACGAAGCTTTTTGCCGATTTGTTGACAGGTTAGAGCTGTTTTTGTGAATTTTAAGGTATTTTTTGGCAACTTTCTAAAGGTGTGTAGTTTCTAATAACACATGAAAAGTCTGCTCTAAAAGCTCTAAATGATTTTTAGGCCTGAACCCCTTGGAAAGACCCGTCGAAAATGCCTCCGATCCCCTTGTTGTCAAGATGAAGATTTTTCTACAGGTTTCCTTTAATTTTATAATATTCTTGTCAAGCGGCTGGGAAGCTCAGCGAGCTTAATCCTAACAGTATTGTAAGTATAAGCATAAGCAAAGCCAAGACAAGCCTAAGCCAAGCCCAAGCCTAATCATAAGCCTAACTTAAGTCAAACCCTAAGCTTAACCTAAGTAAAGTAATCGAGGACCACTCTGAAGCCTAACCCAAGCCTAAGTCTAAGCCTATGCCTAAGCCTAAGCCAAGCCCAAGCCTAAGCTTAAGCCTAAGCCTAAACTTATGCCTTGGGCGAGGACGAAAGCTAACCCTAAACCAAAGTCTAAGCCTAAACCTGTAAATTTAGCAAATCCTCGACGTCGACGAGAAAAACCAGCTTGTCTCAGTGAATGCGTGGCTCAGATTTGTGAGATCTAAACTTAAATTCCAAATCTTTTGAGTAATTTTAGACATGGACGGACTACAAGCTGAAATGGAATCCCAGGGATTATAACGGAATACCGGACGTCAGATTCCCCGGAACGACAGATCATATCTGGAAACCGGATGTGCTGCTCTATAACAGGTACTTTGTACTTTAATAGATGACTGAAATTAATTTAGCGCCGCCGAGGACTTTGACTCGACATTTAAAAGCAATCTGCTCGTCTACAACACCGGTGATGTCACCTGGATACCGCCGGGTGTTCTCAAATTTGTCTGTGCTATCGGTAGGAGCTTTTGCATTATCGGGGGGATGAAATTCTCTTAGAATTCTAATTGAGGGAACGTACTTTTACGCTTCTTTCTTGCTATTCCTAAACGTAAAGACGTTACGAGATTTTCTTGAAAAAAATACAAAAAAATAGGGAATTTGCGTGTTTTTCGTCTTTTTAGAGTTTGAGAGACCCCCCGAGAATGCCAAAGAGCCCTGGCTCGAATTTTCAGATGTGACCTGGTTCCCGTTCGACGAACAACTTTGTGAATTGAAGGTCATTTTAAAAAAGCTCGAATAACGGTTAAATTTTAGTTTGGTTCCTGGACCTTCCACGGCCATGCCATTGATCTGCAAATTGATAGCTCGGATGAGACGGATAATACAAGTAGGTGAGAGAAAGAGAGAGAGAGAGAGAGAGAGAGAGAGAGAGAAAGTTAGAGAGGGCGAGAAAAGACAGAGAGACAGAGAGAGGGGGAGAGAGGGAGAGGGAGAGAGAGGGAGAGAAAAGACAGAGAGACAGAGAGAGGGGAGAGAGGGAGAGGGAGAGAGAGGGAGAGATATAGAAATAGGGAGAGAGAGAGAGAGAGGAGAGAGAGAGAGAGAGAGAGAGCGCGATAGAGGGATTATGAGACAATTTTAGCAAATCATCAAATGGATCTGTCGACATATGTTGTCAACGGTGAATGGTCACTCATCAACAGTCCGGCCATCAGAAAAGTCTGTGCCCCATAGCAAGCCCCAAAACCCTTTCTAGGTCGGCTACTTCAAGTGCTGCCCCGAACCCTACCCAGTTGTCAAATATTATCTCCACCTCCGGAGACGCACCTTATTTTATGGCAAGCTTTTGAACCACTATTATCACCTTTTCAGGCTTTAACCTCATCATCCCATCGCTTTTGATCACGCTGATGACGGTGCTCGGCTTTACGCTACCACCGGATGCTGGGGAAAAGATCAACTTGGGTACGTTCGGCAAGGCCACAAGATACACCTATTCTAGAAATGACTGTACTACTCGCAATCGTCTTTTTCCTATCGATGGTCTCCGAGATGACACCACCCACTTCTGAAGCTGTTCCGTTGATAGGTGCGCGTATTTTGCAACTCTTTGTAAATCCTGGTTTCAGGTTCTTTTGCATTATCGGGGGCCCCACTTTTTTTCTTAGGAACTAATTTTCAAACATAGATAGTGGAAGTGGTTCTAAACTGTTTTTAAGACTCCTAAACCTCAAAACTATGCAAAATGTTATCAGAAAACGTAAAAATATAGATTTTTCGACCAAAAATGGAGGTTTTATTACGAAAATTTCGATTCATTCGAAATTTCTGATAATTTTTCTAGTTGAAATATAGTATTTGTTACTAAAAACACTATTAAAACATACTGTTGATTGGCTAGACATTTTTAGACATACACCCCCCGATAATGCGAAAGAACCAGTTATCTTTATATAATCATCATTAGTACTATAAAAATGCGTTTAATATCAAAAAGTTATACAGGCGTCTTCTTCTCCTGCTGCATGCTCGTCATCTCGGCCTCCGTCGTGTTCACCGTCGTGATCCTGAATCTCCATTTCCGGGGCCCAGATACCCACGTCATGTCGCCATTGGTTAGTGACAACAAAGCTTAAAACTCGTATAGGTACGCTCTGTCCTGCTGGAATGGCTGCCGTGGATTCTGATGATGTCCCGGCCAGGCCACACATTCCGAAAAGGATGTGCGCTGAAAGATGGCGAGCCAAAGCTCAAGGAGCCGAGCTTGCCAATAAAGTAATTCTTTATTTTAGAAACCAAACAAGGCCTATTTAGCCGAAGCGATCTCCCGGCTCACCAACCGGTCTACGAAGCTCAATTGTTATTGTTACATTCGTGTTATTCGGAGTTGAAACAGGTGAGGTTAAAAAAAACTTGTAAGCGCTAGGAAAATATCAGTTCTGGACTGTTAGGAAATATATTTGCCTTTTGAAAGTATTTTTAGTAGTTTTGATTGCTAGAAAGTTATACAGAATATTTTTAAAATTTTAAAATTTCGAAATTGACCTTTTTTTAGTCATTTTTCATGCATTTTTCGCCAAAAAGTCAAACATTTTCGAAAACTTTCATTTTTTATATTGTTTTTATATCTAAAAACTATGTAAAATGCTATACAAATAATCTGTATTTTATTATGGGGCCATAGAAAATCACAGGAAAAGTGTGGTCATCACGCTAACAGTGCAGAACGAAATATCTTCACACCATAGCTTGACCACGACAATTATAAAGTGCAAAAAACGCCCCAAAGACCTCTTGCACATTTGTTTTGATGTTTTCACGGCAACGAAATCTTCTTCTTCCAGATAACGGCCAAGCTGGAGAAGGAGGCGTGGGAGGAGCGCGTGCAAAACGACTGGCGATTCGCGGCGATGGCCGTCGATCGGGCGTGCCTGGTCATGTTCTCACTCTTCATCGTCATCTCCACATTGGCCATCATGCTCTCCGCCCCGCATCTCATCGCATAAATCTTTATTCGGGGCCCGTCCACCGCGTTTTACTTTTATCGAACGATCGAACAGAGCGCAGGCCCGAACGGCAAAAGTGCTTCGCTCAAAATGGAGCGCAAAAATTCGCTATAAAATTTATGAGGATTTTTTTGTTGAAAGATATAAATTTTCAAAAGTTAAAATAATTTTTTTGAAAAACTAAAATCTCTGTTCCGTGAGTTTTCACTTGACGAATATACGGTATTTAGAGGAGTGTTTCGTACGTAGCAACACGCACTCCCGATTTTTCAAAAATTTTTCAAAAAGTTTGCTGGAAAACCTTGAAATGGTGTTATTGAGTTAGTTTTGAAAAGTTTTTACAAATTTCATAGAAACTAAACTATTTATCTGTTTCGTAGAAAGCTGATAATCTTTAATTCAAAAATATTACTGCTTCTGACTTAGATCCACCTAACTAAAGCTTATAGAGCGCAAAATTTTCGATTTCACCGGATTTCAGCCATTGTTTCGGGCGCGGGCATCGACTCTCTCTCTCTCTAGTACGATGTGCATCAAACAACCCGCCTAAGCCCTCTGTGTGCGCTTGTTGCCAAAGATCCGCTAGCCTTTATTTTGCTACGGCTGCAAGATTACACATTGCGATGAAAAGGTTGTTGTTGCGATAAAATGTGTGCTTTTTTCGGCTCAAGGGGATCCGTTAAATTTAAAAGGCCGTTTGCGAGCCACCCGAACAAGGCTTGGCACAGTTTTTTTCGACCCTGTTTTTTTGACGTCATCTGAAAGAGCATGGTCGAATTAGTGGAGTGGCACTATTTTGAGAATTTTAAAAGTTTAATTTCGGGGTTAAATCGGCCGTTAAAGTTGCCGATGTCGAAAAATTACCTCGAAAGTGACTTGAGGGAATTTGCTCAAAATTGGTGTGTATGCCTAATTTTAGACGCTGATTATTTTTCTAATACATCGCGAAACACAAAAATGAGCGGAACATGGTTAAATCACGTACTCGAGATGGTTTTCCCGGAATCCATCAAAAACGGCCTTTTCTGCGCTCCATGAAAATAGCATAGAAAGATGCGCCATATTTTTTTTTACGTCGATACATGTCTCGTTCACCCGGAAACCAGCTCCCCTCCTCTTGCTACAACGCGTTTTATACGCCAAAAACCCGCCAAAATTGGCCCCCAAAAATACAAAATCTCCGGTTCGGAAAAATAAAGACAACAGATCGCATCTAGAAGACGAGCTGAAGCGATTGCAAAAAAGAGCAAAAAGAAATTAGCCTTATTTCAATGTCGCGGAATCGAACCCGGACCCTCCGCCTGGGAGCCCCATGGCGCAATGAGTAGAGCGTCGGCGTGCCAATACGGAGGCGGCGCGGGTTCAATCCCAGCCCCCTCTCAGAAGCCGAATTTCTTTTTGCTCTTTTTTGCAATCGCTTCAGCTCGTCTTCTAAATGCGATCTGTTGTCTTTATTTTTCCGAACCGGAGATTTTGCATTTTTGGGGGCCATTTTTGACGGATTTTTGGCGTATAAAACGCGTTGTAGCAAGAGGAGGGGAGCTGGTTTCCGGGTGAACGAGACATGTATCGACGTAAAAAAATATGGCGCATCTTTCTATGCTATTTTCATGGAGCGCAGAAAAGGCCGTTTTTGATGGATTCCGGGAAAACCATCTCGAGTACGTGATTTAACCATGTTCCGCTCATTTTTGTGTTTCGCGATGTATTAGAAAAATAATCAGCGTCTAAAATTAGGCATACACACCAATTTTGAGCAAATTCCCTCAAGTCACTTTCGAGGTAATTTTTCGACATCGGCAACTTTAACGGCCGATTTAACCCCGAAATTAAACTTTTAAAATTCTCAAAATAGTGCCACTCCACTAATTCGACCATGCTCTTTCAGATGACGTCAAAAAAACAGGGTCGAAAAAAACTGTGCCCAAGCCATAATAGGGCCTGTTCGAGTGACTCGCGGATGGCCTTTTAACACCTTTTGGAAAATGTTTTTATCGATTTTTCTCATTGACCTTTAACTAATCTATGCATCTGTTTCTTTTCCAGGGACCCGGAAATGAAGGCGCTACCGAGAATGTCCTTGATTTTCGCCATGGATGAAACGGGCGGAATCGGCAAAGATGGCCAGATCCCATGGCATTCGCGAAAGGACTTCCAGTTTTTCGTCGAGAACACAACGAGGACGTCTAACCCTGAGGTTGAGAATTTATTATTGCCGGATAACTTATTCAGCTAAGGAATGCGGTGATAATGGGCCGCAAATGCTGGGAATCTATACCGTCACGATTTCGCCCATTAAAGGTATCGTCATATCAGGTTATGTCTAATTTATTTTAGAATCGCATCAATGTAGTCCTCAGCCGAACTATGGAACCAGTCGATGATGGTGAACTGATAGTCTCCGGAGATCTCGAAGAGGTCCTGAGCAAGCTAACCGAGATGCAGCAAAGAAATGAGTAGGTTGATTCATTTCGCCTTGAATTTCTGTTTAGGATCGAGACTATTTGGAACATCGGCGGACGCGATTTATATGGATGGGCATTGGAGAATGGAATTGCTGAGCGGCTTGTGGTTACCCATATTTCTGGATGGTATTTTCGGCTTTTATGAAAGCGCAACCGCATCGATTCAGCTTTGACGCGAACATCAAAATGCCGCCGATCGCCTGGGACGACTACGAAGAAGATTGCAGCCTGGTATTGCACTCCAAATAATGTTCATTTCCGTTTAGAGAAGCGACGAACAGACGGACGGCCCTTTGAAGTTCGTTTGGCGCGTGTACAACCACAAATGAGAATTTTTCCCCTTTTTAACTTGCACATATTTTCAACTACTATTTATATGTTTTCCATTTCACTTGCCTGACATGTATCACCGGTATTATTTCCCTGAAATACGCGTACGATAAATATTTGTACAATTTGTTTTATGATGGTGGCCCACGTACGCTCGTCAAAGGCATACTTCTACAACTTTATTCTTACTATTTACAACGTGGCTATTCAGTAGATGGTTAATCGCGAACGGGGAAGAAAAGGATATAGTAAAAAGCCGCGGGACTCTGAGGGCTTCGTGATACCAAAAGCAGTTTACGAGGTTTGGGATCCTGACGTTTTGTTTAGTTCGTTTTAGGGCGAGCCAGGTCCGCCTATCGTACTCATCGATGGACTGCCTTGCGCAAGCCTCGGAAAGGCGTGCCCGGCCACCTCTCAAAAGCTTGACAACGGTTCGATCAGGTCCAACACCAATGGTTCCCTGAATAACCTTCACCGACAAGAAAAACAGCAGCCTCATCTGACCAATGGGCACAGTATGTTTCAGTTTTCAGGCAATTATCTTTTTTACAGGCGTAGGCTTCGGATCTACGAACGAACCCTGCACGAGCAATAACCAGAATGTCCAGAATGGTGATGCCGTCCGATCTTCGGAACGGAGAAGCGAGCGGGTGTTTGTAAATGGGAATTTGACAGCTCCAACGAATCATGACCGGTGAGGATTTGTCAACGCTATTAATTTAATTTCTAGGCAAAATGGTAATACAAAGCCGTTCAATGCTTCTTATGATCCTGGCACTCACAAAGTGGTAGGCTATACTTCTATTTTTGTGCATGGATGCTTTTAGATCGATCGGTCATTGTACAGCGATCAGCCATTAGACGGGTCAAGTGCCGATGCAAATCATAAAACAAAACACATGGTATTTTATTGTATGTAGTTGCTTTTATTTTACCCTAGAACGGTGTGGTCAATACGTCTCCTTCCGAAGAGGCGATTACTTATCCGCTGCACGGCATGAAGAAGCCGAGGGCAACCGCCATTGTATACACAAATAGATTAGGTATGGAACTGTTTTTAGCGAACTCTATCCGTTTAGGCACCCATGTTCCAACTGCAACGTGGGCGGAAATCGAGAGCGCAAAGGAGAAGAAAGTCGAAGAGCCGGCCACCATCCAACCCGTCAAATCAGTTAAAGCTCAGCCGTCTGTGGTAATCGCAGGCCCAGAAACAATATCAAAGCCGGTGACGTCAAGGCCGAAGTTCAGGCCGAATGCGTGGGTTTCACTTTTTTTATTGAAATAATAGATCTCTTGTCGAAAACAGCGTCCTTTTCAGACACCACCGCGCCAACCTCAACCACCAGAAGCCGGCTGCCCCACAACCAGCCGGTCTGCAACAGAATACGGGGCCAGCATCGCCAATGAATGAATCTGCAAAGCCTACATTGCCAATGAATGAATCTGCAAAGCCAGCATTGCCTGAACCTTCGACATCCCTCCCAACGCCGGTTGTCCCCGAACAACAACGTCCAGCGTCCCGAATTGATCTCCGACTTTTCCTCGATGATCTACCGACGACCGCAAAAAGCCGCCCGACGTCACCAAAACTTCCCTCGTTTGCCATGTGCAAGGGCGAAACGTTGGCGGCCGCTAGCAAGGAGTTCAAACAAGAATGTCCCGACATGTCTGCTATCATACTGGTACGATTCTATTTTTTATCAAATTTTGTCTTTTTTTTAGGGCTCACGTTTTCTGAAGGCTGACAAAATGTGCCAACTCTTACACCACCTTACGCCGACCGAGCTCCAACTGATTGGTTTGTTTTCGGCCTGCGTTCAATATCTTTTTTTTTAGCCACGATCACCCAGGATCGGCTGAAAGTTCACGGGCCGATGATCGAATCTGTGGCCAAGCTGGCGAACCAGTATGAATCGATACAAATGCTGCTCAAATCAAAGTATGCCACATAATTATTGTTTTGATGTTGTTTAGGGAGAATTTTCTTGAGCAATGCCGTCAACTGTTCGACGTCATCTCGCTAATTCAGGGTGACAAGCGACGGGAAGCCACTGCCGCTTACCAGGTATACAAAATCGATAGTATGTCAAATTTTTTCACTTTCTAGGTGATCCAAAAGCTGTGGTCCGAATATCAAGAGCAGAGGAAGTCGAATCACAAACCCGCCGAGCGGAAGTTGATGACTGAGGAATTCGGTAGGTTTTGGGCGCTTCGTTTTTATCAGACTTCAGGCCGAGTCGTCTCTGCTGCCCTCTACCATCCAGCAACTTCTGTCACACTCATCCACCAACTACGTACTTGGCGCGATCAGCTCTTTTGGGATCAAAAGTGAGCATTCTGACGCTACATATATTGTTTTTAGTGAGCCCACAGAAGGGTGGAAACAACCAGGCGCTGAAAACACGGAAGGTCGTCTCTGTGTCGATTCGCTGAGGCTTGCGCCCGATAGCGAAGAGGTGCTGAACGGGTCGTTGAGGGTTGATGTCCTCTGGAATGACCACTCGAGCTCATCGGCCTGCGTTTCTACTATGGAAATCGACCAGCTGCAGCACAAACTCGTCGACTCTTTTGGGATGTGCTTTGAGTAAGGATTTCATAGATATCCTATATAATCTTTTGTTAGCGCGAATGGCACACGTCGTCTGCCGATTTTGAAGAAGAACAGTCCCCCAGAGGATTACGTCAAGTACATCAGAAGCTTTGTCGATTGGCCGTCGGAGATACGAAACCATCTAGCCGTTGCCGAATTGTTTGCCAGCTCTCGTGAAAACCTGCGACAAGGCCGTGCCACTCCTGTATCAAGCGCTGAGGTAACTTTTTGTTATCGGGGATTGTTGATTTTGATTTAAACAAGATCAGTTTTGCTTTATTTTTAAGTAAATATTATCCTATCTATTTTTTATTTTAGAGCATTGTCTCGCAGGGCTTCCTGGAGGAACGGCCCTTGTCGGCGGGAAGTTCGGGATCTGCCCAGAGCGTCGACGCATCGTCGGTGGCTTCCCGGCAACGACCTACGTGCCACAAATGCGCTGGACCCCATCAACCCTCGGAATGTCGCAACAAACTGACCAAGGCTGATTATGGTGAGTACCAAAAGCTCCGTTGCTATTTTATTTACTGTTTAGATCCGTATGGGTGTCCTGTGTATCCAAACATTCCAAGTACAAGCAGGTCCAACGGCAACGGGACACCACCACATATGGTTTGTCTTTTGCAGGATGCTGATCGTGAACTTTTAGTTGGTACCCGCGAACATGCAGCCACCTCCGCTCCATCTTCACGCACAGTTTTTGAATCCAACTAATGGCCTGGTTTATGCTACGGTATATTTTCTAAACTTTTCTAAACACGGTTCAGCAGGATGGTCCAAAATGGCACCATGGCGCGAATGATATGTCGACAAATCAGCCGGTAATGCGTCCCGGATACTTTGCCGTCGCTCCGCCCGCTGCTCCGTTGCACCTCATCACAACCTTGCCGACCAACCAGTTCCAGCCTCCAACCATGGTCCGAGATTCTGTTTCTCTCTATATTTTTATAGTTCCAAACTCAATACAACGTGCACCCTCCACCATACAACGGCTACGAACATTTCGATCGTCATAGAGAGGTAATTTATGGACTTTCAGATCATGATCTCGAACGATAAATTCACAGCTTTTCCGGTTGTAACTGCGTCGAGACGGTCGTCTCAAATTACGGAAAATTGGGATTTTTTACAGTCGAAAAACAGACTTTAAGAATCGGAAAAATTGCGAACTCGGCACGTAAAAGATAGGGTGCTAGATTGGGGTTTGTTTGATGTCTCAAATTGGTAGTATTCACGATATTTTGACTGTTTTTATAGAACTATATTTGAGCGTATTATGCGGACATTGAGATTCTGTAAATCGAATTTAGGAGGAACATTTTCATGTTTCGAAAATCGCAGTAGGATCACCTGAAATCAGTGACATTTTTGGAGTTTAGAAAACTATTCCCTTCCAGGAGCGTCACTGGCAGAAGGGCGACCCTGCTCAGCGACGCCACGGCAGCAACAACACCCGCTCGAGCAACAGCCCTCTCGACGAAGAAGTGGCCCGATCATCTAGCTCCTAGCCCTGATGTCACTCGTAGCTTTGCAGTAGAACTTTCCCCCTCCGACCCCCCGCTTACCTCCCCCCGGCTTTTGGCACCCTTTCCTCTGCTTACCGCTCATTCTCTCCCTAGTCCAAACATTGCCATCAATCTCAGCCCCCTTGATTGTGCTGCCAAAAAAAATCAACAAACTTGTCAAACTCACGGTTAACACTTTACAGCCTTCTTTCATATTTTTTATTTGGGTATTTTGGTTTAGTTTAGCGCTTTGTTAGGCGCTTATATATTTTTGTTATACTGTGTTTTATGCATTTTCTGTTTCTGCAAATTTGTTTTCTTTCTCGTAGCCCCCGCCTACTACTGACCGCCCCCTTCACCTATAATTAGGATGCCGGTGTAACCCTAGTCGGAATCGCAATTCGCCCCGTTAACCCGGGCCCCCAGGGTATGCCTGCACAATAAATTTTTGATTATTCATCAGACGGATTTATCTGCGATGAGAGAGGTATTTAGACAAACACGAAAATTTGACAAATTAGATGGTACATATACAGACTAGAATTTAAGGGACTGGAAATAAGACTGAGATCTCAAAATAGCGACTAGACAATGGGCGGAAGAGACGCAAGTTCACAACTCGGCACCAATCACACTATATTAAGGGGGTACGAGACATTTTGTACTGGACGGTAAGTGTCGGGAGGAGTGTTTGGAATTTGAGAATTTTCTTTGGACCGTCAGCACATCCAGCTGACCGGCACCCATTGCACATCGTTGCGCAGGGCCTCTAGAGCGTCAATCAGCCTGAAATTCGAGGTAGTGTTGCGTGGCAAGCCTGCGGTGATCATTTGGGTATTGATTTTACCTCCTGAGCGTGACGTCCATGTTCCGGTTGATGAGCGTCAGGTGGATTTGCTCG